CTAAATTTGGTAGCATTAATGATTATATTTCAATATCTAGCAGGCTACATGTTAATATACACCAAAATGCTGTTGAAACACAACATTTGAACATTACATGGTGTTGGAAAAGGTAGTAGAGAAAAACATGACCGTCAATCTGACTGCATATCTGAAACAAGGCTACAGCCCTGCTAATGGATCTACTGTATACAGCGGTTGATTAGTGCTTTAAGCTAAATGCTAATGTTAGCATGCCAACTTGCTTACAATGACAAACCAAACATGTTGATGTTCAGCAGGTATAATGTTTAAAGTGCTCAGCATGACAGCATGCTTGCATTTGCTGATTAGTACAAAGTAGCTGTGGGCTGTGGCTGATGAAATTAAATTTCCAAAAGGAACCTATTGCACAAATCAAAAGTCTGAGCTCTTGATGACATTTAAGGGGATACCACAATTAATCTATAGCTGGATATAAATGTGTACATTTTACTGAAAAACCCTCTAATGACACTAGATTTAAAGGAAGGGGGGTACCCAAAGTTAAGTAGATTCATCCTCTCTGATTTCATGGCAAGCCATCCAATCTGATTTTTATTTTATAGAGACTCGGACAGTTTAAATACTTCACCATGTTCAATAATGGAGTATTTTAAACTGTATAATGTGACTTAGACAGTTTATTCTTCTCTATCTATCATCTATAGGGATGTGTACCATCAGTAGTGTGGCCAGTACATAATGTTCAAACAGAGAATTCCTGAAAATCTGTACGTCAGTTTAGATAATGCAAAGGCTACAATGCTTGAGAGGGGCCTCAAAAGATAAAAAGAAAAGAAAACCATTTCAGTTTGGTCCGACAGGCAGTGATCAAAGTCAGAGATTAGACGTGTCTTTGGGAACATAATGTGCTCAGTTGGGTGCACAAAGCTTTCCTGACAGGACAAAGTTGGTTGTGGGTTGACATTGATTTACGGTGTGGTGCTGAACATTCTTTGGCTAAGAGGGTAGAGTGGAGACATAGGGGGTCTGCAGACACTTTTCAAACTCTTGTTAAACTGATCAGAGCTGACTGTGTTCAATCCATCACTGAGATATCAAGCTAAACATGTAGAAGCTCCTTCTCGGTTTCACACTTAGGATCCAGGAAGTTGAAGCCAGTGTTCCCCCGAGGCTCTGTGAGTGTTTTCATCTCTTGTACAAGCAGTCCAGCTGAGCTCCCTAGTGAATACTGTCGCACTGTATATGATTATATATGTATTTCTTCTGGGTAATTCAAGCTAAATGTTTCATCTTTTACATTTGCATGTGTAGATTTTCTGATTTATTACCATTTCAAAAGGCAATCATTGCTTAAGGGAATATGTATGCAGCACTTTATCTCTTTGGAAAATAGTTGCTGTTTTTTATGCAAGGCCACCACAATTGTATACCATCATAATTATGTCTTTGACTGAGAATTTATAAATGTTCAATGTCTTAGTTAACCAATCATTTAGTATGTTGCAACAATTGTTACCAGGGGCCAAAACCATGATGTGCCTTTCTTTGACAAAGATCCAACAAAAGCTCCAAAAGAGTTACTTGCAAAAAAATGCAAGCTATTTGAAGCTGTGACCGGCAGGTTTTTCATATGTTTTACATATGAAATGCCAAAAAACATTAATTAATGAATGCATAATGGACAAAAAATATTAAAGCCAAACGCAAGGTCATCTTATCTCAAAGTCTTTCTCACCAGAAAGAGTAACAATTGTAAAAGATGTTATATAACATATTATCGTGAAAATTGAATAAAAACTTAGCCTTGGTTAGCTCTGTCCCTTTATCTGTTTTCTGGTTTGATTTAATTATTGATCTACTAATTTTCAATCCAACAGGTCTCCAAATAAGTGAAACTGTAAAACACTATAGAGAGATGTGCAGAGTGTATAGTTCACTTAACGCTGTTTTAAAGATTTACTTCATCACTGGCAACAGAATATGGCTTAAGGCCGAGAGCCAAAGCAGGGTAGGAAAGTCTGAAAGTATTGCGAGACAGGCTAACACATTGTCAGTTTTGGTCTTATTATGGGATTTGTTGACAACAAGAAAAATATAGCAAATGGTCAGCCTCAGACTTGAATAGACATGTAAGGTAGGCACATCCATTTGTTTCCCCCTCTAAGCACAGTATAATGCCCTCAGTGTGTGAAATGTTTTCCCTGGCTCCCATGGGAGTTAGCAGTGTTTTGGTCTCGTAGTCGCACAGACCCACCCAAAAAGCAACCTGACCTAAGAAAAAATGAATATAAACAGTTTCCAGCTCTGTCACATTCACACTGGTATGACTGAGGGTAATGGAATGTAAACCCGCACACATATCTGTGCAAATACGCAAAATGTCTTGTCAGCAGAGGATACAGCATGATAAAGAGAATGACAGGGTTACTGTATGTGTGGTTTCAAGCCCACGGAATATGAGAATGACCTTTTGATTTATAAAATAAAAACTATTCTAATCTCACCCACAGAACAAACAAAATGTACAAGTCAAACACAATCTGAATTGATATGGGACACCACTGTGTTCCCACTGCTACACTCTGTCAACATGCAGATATGCTGCTCACTGTGACCGTCTTTCCTTATCAACATTCCTGTCGTGACCTTGGCTCAGACACACTGGTCAACTTTGTTTTTTTATCAGTCAGCTGTGTGAGGTGAGCCAGAGTTGAAAGCGAATAGTTTCTACCCATAGCTGACATCTGTTGACTGGGGTTAGGGGACATTTGTTGACTCTATATGTGGACAGAGAACGTCTGGAGCTTAGGAAAATGTTTTTACTGAGGTCACACAGAGGCTGAAACAATCTCTGTAATTTCATGTATGTTGTGATCTAAAAAGGTTTTTGCATGAGGCACACTTTACCTACTGCTAACCTACATCAGGGTCAGAGAAACAACAGGTACAGCTAAAATAACTGGTTGAAAATTCAAATGTAATCACAATCACACATGTGTTTCTGTCCATTAATCTCTATAACCAATTGCACAACAAGAAATAAGGACCGACACTTTTTCAAGCCAGCTTGCTACCTCAGCACACAGCATTTAGTATATTTTTATTTAAGCTTGATTCAGTCCTCACCATCGAGTATCTGGTGCTGCTTTTCATGTTGCTTCTATAATGTAATGTGTTTTGTTGTTTTATTGTGTCCTGTCTGGATGTGATATACTGCTTTAAAATATACCCTTTTTAATCTCAGATTTTGAACATCTACATTATTTGTCTTCTTAATAAAGCAAAATTAGATATTAAAGTATTGTGCATCAGGTTATATTCTAAACATATTTTTTGGGAGCAAAAGAGAGAAAAAGCTACTGCAGAAAAGGCTATTGAGCAACAATGAGTAAGGATTGCAACATTTTCCAGTGTTGCAATCTCAGCCTTGGATTGGTCTTGTTATTCTGATGGTGGAAAAGTGTGAGGATTTGTTTTATCATCAGTTGAGATGGCATTGAGATGTATTTATGTTTGTAACATTGTTGACATGTTGACACCCATATCCAGAAAGACTTTGTGCACTGTCAACAAACTACAGTGCAAACAAAAAGATTACGTTGGGATTGTGGAGCCTTGAAAATATGCATCTCTAGTACCACTTCAGTTAGGTAGGAAAAAAAGAGAATAAAATCAAAATAAGAAAAGTATAAAGTATTTTTTTCATAAGGTCCATGGTGTATTATTTGGAACATTACCTGAGTGTGTGTACCTGTTGGTAGTTCAAGTGCATCTGGTTCTGGTTCTTTGATAGCGATGTTGGTCGGCCAGTTATAGTCTCTTTCAGGAAGGGCTGAAGCAATAAGTGGATAATCGATTAGTTGATTGGCACAACATTAATCATCTACTATTTATATCATCAAAAAATCCGGTGAGCATTTTCTAAGGCAAAAATGTTACCACTTTAACATGTTTTCCTTGTCTTCTATGAGACAAAGAAAACTCCCAGTCGGAGTTGGACCAAACAAGATCTTTGAAGATATCACCATAGATGGCCTCTTGTAACCTCTGAGTATAAATCACTATTTGCTGACATTTCATACAGTGATTGATTAATTGTGAGAAAAAAATAGGCTAGATTTTGTGTCTGTGCATTGTGTCCAGAAACCAAACTTTGCTGCTGAGGAGGTCCAACTCTGCTTGCATTATGCTAATCTAATTATAAATGTAAGTGTTTCTCTAATGCTAACATTTGCTTGGATTGTTTCTCTGAAAACCATACATCTGATGATTAAAATCCTTCATCTGCTAATAAATAGAAGTTGGATGGCAGTTTAAAAGTATATTAAAGCAATGTCCTTTAAATCTGGATACAAATACAATGAATGGGATCCTAGCAGACACCCAAAATACTGAGGCAAGTGTATAGGGCCTACAGTACGTTGCCATTACACAGGGTAACCAAATGAAACAGACCCTTCCTTACAATAATCATTTAAAATACAGATTTAGCTAGGTTTTAAGTTTGATGGAAACATTTGGGATAAAGTAGGTAAAAACTTAACAAAATATTACATATGTCAAGTTGTTTTGAGACATTTTAAATCAGGATTGTTACCTATAGGCTATATCTTTAAAGCTGCTGTTTTAATGTGAAAACAATGAAAAGTAAAGTATACAAACAAAAAATAGACTCCCAGAAATGACCCATTTCATCTGGAATATCATAGGGCTGATTTAAACTCCCTCTGTTAGTCATAAATAAAAAGAAACCCATCAGACAGCCTGAGAGAGAGCGAGCTGCTGCTGGACACAGTCTGTCTCTCAGGATTCATTCACAGAGAGAGGATGAACCTAGAGTTACACTTCAGCACCTTAACAAACATATTCTTGGGTTACACACTATAGAAATCTTCCATTTTCAGTTAAAGCTCGACCATTTTGTGTGAGGGGTCCCGTATGTCTGACCTACTAACACATTTATGTTTAATAGATGGAGTGACGTCACGGAGGGGCGGAGTCACGAGCGTTCAAAACACAGCTTGGCCTCAATCCTGCCTGATTCTTTTGCTTCCTGCCTAATTTTTGCGCTTATTTTCTCCTCTCACCAGTTATGTAAAGTACTTCGCGCTTTGTAGCCTTTATTTTATTTTCAGTTTTTATATAATGAGGCTGCTTTCCGTATATTCACCAAAAAACACGTATTTTCCCCCCGGGATAGATTTCTCAAACAGCAGCCTACGGTTTGCTTGTTTGTTGCTTTCAAGGAATATGGACTAATTGAGAAACCGTATAAATGTACCTGCCGTCGAGGGGATATCCTGCGTTTGTAATCGAAGAGGTAAGACTGAACAAAAGGTGGAAGACAAATGTTTTCTGGCCACAACTGTTCAAGGGTCTGCAGCAGCTGCAGCTCATTATCCTGCCTGGATGCTTTTTTCCTGTGTGTGTGTGTGTGTGTGTGTGTGTAAAATCCCTCAGCGGACTAGTCACACATATTTCGTTTTTAAACGTTTTGCATGAAGTCTAGTTTCTCAATCCTGTGCTTCCAGCCTTCATAGACTGACAAATGGCGATGTTGTTGTGCAAACAGCGATTTCCTGCTGCATACTTGGCTCTTTGAGCAGAGAGCGGTATTTCTGTTTACCATATTACTAAGTGGCGGCCAGAACTGATGCATTATGCACAGTAGGAATTCTCTAACATTCTTTAAACATTTCCCAAACTTAAAGCAGCTCTTCAAACTCTCGTGTTTAGCTACATTTGTGTAGTAAGGAACATTTCTGTATATGTAATCCTTTGTTGTCCTCCTCAGTTGTGGGATGTAACTAAGTACTTTCACTCAGTACTGTACTTACTAAACTTTATTATTTCCACTTTGGCTACATTATAGCTTACTTCTACTCCTCTACATCTCAGAGGGAAACCCTGAGATTTGACCTTCAGTAAATGAACTTGACTGCCATTGTTCACTTGTCACTCTCAGATTGATTTATTAAGAGAAAAATATAGTAGTGTAGTTTAAGTTAGCTCCACCTTGACCATCTGCAACATTGAAGTGATTAATACATTTCACAATTGTATCACAGATAAGATTCTGAAATGTATCATTCTGCATAATTATTACATTTTTGATACTTTAAGTATGTTTTGAGATAACTTTTTGTTGTACTTTTAAAGTTTTGAATGCAGGGCCTTAACTTGTGACAGATTATTTATTAACTGTGGTAATAGTTAAGTAAAACTTTTAAAAACCAGTTGTCTTGCATCCTCATAAAATACAATAGAAGTGTAAATTGCAAAAGATCAGGAATTCTACTGATATAACAGCTAAATTAAATGTTGTGTTTGTACTTGCATTTGAGTGAAAGCAATGGGCACTCATAGGACAAGATAGATGCTAAATGCATTTTTAAGAGAAGTTTATTTTCCCATTTTAATGTCTTGTCTGTTGCCTGTTCCTCTTCCTCTTCTTCTCCCCAGGTGTGTGTGCCCTGGGTGCAGTCCAGCCTGTGCTGTGGTGGCGATGAAGAGCCCCGGAGCTGCAGAGACCCGGCGGCTGGTCGTCCTGCTGGAGGCAGCCCTGCTGAGGGAGGCTCGTCTCTGGAAGGTACCGGTCTTCAAGAATGGATGCATCCAGGTAAGTCTAGCATCTTTCTAAAGCACGTTATAATGTCATTAAAAGCCTAAAATGGAACAGAAACCCTAATCTTGGTCCTCTGTAAAATGAAAAGTTTTTCTTGTGTGATGAAGCATCAAGATTCATGTCTTAATTTTTAAAGCTAACAATTAAAAAGTCACTTTCTGTAATAAGGAAATTAATAATTCAAGTACGAGCATGAAAAAGTTGAGTAAAAGCATTAATAGTAATAATCTGAGATCTAAAAAAGGGAGGCTTTTCATTAATTGCATGAAACTGACGTCCCAGTAATTACTATAATTGTGTCTTTCTTTGGGGCTTTTTTTGGATGGCCTGCACTGCCAACAACCTGAATTATTATCTTCCAATCATTTTCTTCTTTGACCTCTCAGGGTGCTGACGTCTCCTCATCCCAATATCAAGAAATTATCTTTTGGCTTGGAGAGATGAACCGGCTGTTCCACTTCTGTCCAGAAACGTTTGCACTGGGAGTCTGTGTCCTTAACCGACTGCTGTCCACTGTCAAGGTAGACGGCTGCAACTAACAATATTTGTCATTATCAATTAATCTGGTGGACATTTTCTTGATGAGTTGTTTGGCCCATAAAGTATTTTTTAAATTGTTAAAAAATGACAATCCCAGTCTCTCCAAGCTGTTGTCTTTAAATGTCTAATTGTGTCAGAACATAGTATGATATAAAAAGTGTGTTAAAGCAGTGAAAAACATCTTGATTTCTGGTGTTTGTTTTGACATTCTTAGATTGTCCTGCTTCTGAAGAACTAAATAGAGTATTCTCTTTTCTTAGGCCCAACCCAAATACCTGAAATGCATTGCTTTCACCTCGTTGGTCCTGGCTGCCAAAATCAACGAGGAAGATGAGGTAAGATCTTTTCCTAAAGATACGAAGAAACACGTCAGATAACCAAACAAAACAACAACAGAAGTCAATGCTATTTCAAATCAATACGTTTATTTACTTCCCTATTTGTTTGTGTCTGTTTTAAACAGGTAATAGGTTCTGTTCAAGACCTGGTTGTGCAGAGCGGATGCAGCTTCTCAACAGCTGAGATTCTTCGCATGGAGAGGATCATTCTAGACAAGCTGCAATGGGACTTGTACACCGCAACGGCAGTCGACTTCATTAACATAGTAAGTTGGCAGATAGATGGGCAAACAATACTTTTATTTTTATTCTTTTCCTGGACCTGAGCTGTCGGAGCATCTCATAGCTGGACCTGAAATGCTTCGTCAACTCTGGTCCTGGTCTTGCCTAAAACACAGCGGTACAAAAGCACACATTTTGCCATCATGCTTGCATCATGTTTGCTTCAAGACGGTATTTCACAAACCTTCACAAACCCCTACTCTCTCAGAAGAGATAAAGGTAAATTGGTCCTAGTAGAGATTGTGCATTTATTTGATTTCACTCATTGTTCCCATTATTATAAACTCCATTCCGTCCAGCTTGGGGTGAACACGTTTAGAACGTTTTAAGAGGTCAAGAGCAACTGTGCAAATAATAAAATGGGAGTCCGATTAGAACATAATACATTTACATTTGGTTTTTCAATACATCTGAATAGAATCAATAAAATATTGTTCTAAATAATGACGTAAAATAATCGAAGGCTACCTGACCTCAACACTGATAAAACCAAAATGTTATTGTTTTTGCGCACTTGTTCAATTGTTTTAAAGGTTAACAGATGGAAATCACCTTGCTTTCAGTTATTGCTAACTCTAAAAAGCACTGCCTTTTCCCACTGTAAATATGATTTAATGTCAGCTTTCTGCAGCTTCAGTGCAGAAGTGACAATTATAGAATCTGTTGAATCTGATTGTGGACAAAGACCCAATCGGCGCAAGGTCTGAAGAGAGCTGTTTATTCCACATAAGTCTGCATTTGCAAGCTGCTAGCAAATAACAGGCATGATGCATATCAGGCCAAGGCACTTCTGACTAACTCTTAACTTCTGCCCAACTATTGATACCAAAACCCTGCTGCCAACAGGGGGGGGGGGGTCGAGGGACCTCGAGAGACTTAACAGAAATGTTTTATCGTCAGGGAATCTATAACGTGCTCTGAATAATTGACTGTCTTTTACGTGGTTTGTCATTGTTAAAGGTCCCATGCTGTGTTAGAGTTTATGGCACAATATTGTTAAACAGCCTGGATCTAAGGCAGTAGCCACTGACTGAACTGTACACACACACACACACACACACACACACACACACACACACGCGGTCCCTTCATGCTATCGCGCCCAGGGCTGTATTCATAACGCTTTTAATAAAAAAAACATCCAGCACTTTATGATAAAAGATCAGTAACTATAGCGCCAAGGAATAGGTTTGAACAACTCTTAATATGCTTCACATAGGGCTGCATGTTATTAAATAGATTCATACATTACTTAGTTTTTAGCCACACTAGCAGCACAGCTTTTTGGATCACAGTGAAGTTGACTTAAAACAATACAAACTGTTATTAAACTGAACATTACATCTTACTATGAATAAGGAGGCAAACAGTTTGGAGGCCAGCATAGTGACGCTTTATGAATACAGCCCATCAGTTTTCATTACAAATAGTTCCACAAGAGTTGGTATTGATTCACAATATTCAAAGGATTTCCATTGTGTCGACTTGCTCAGTTTTAAGGATAAACATTCTCCACACAACAAATCTGACAGGGATTGAAGTTTTGCATTCTGTTAGTCAAAAATCTCATCCCGGACCAGAGCACAGCTTCATTCCCTCAACAAATAAATGCCAGCGTTCGATTTGTTTGTGATATTGAAATTTGCGGAGGACTGATACATTTTCTTTAAAGCAGCAAACCATTAACTGTCACCGAAAAGCTGTTTGGCACATTTGAACTGATTCAGTGTCTTCTGCAGGACTAAAAATGGCATTTTCACAACTATAACGTGAATTTGACTGACATGGTGTCATAGGTTTACAGCGTGTTATTGATGTGAAGCTTTTATTTTCCTTGCACTTCACTTTATATATTCCAAAAAATATTTGAACATAAACAGACATAAAGCATCAATAAAAACTATATTAAAATAAAGAATTTCTCTTTTTATACTATTCAAATAAATATTTTTCAAACACTTTTGAACAATACTGTAATTATCTCACAATGACATTCCCCCCTGCGTTGAAGAAATAACTCTGCATTCCCTTTTTCTAAATAAAGTGGTATTCTCCTTTTTTCTATAAAACAGCTATCATTAAAATCTATCTATTATTGGTCACCATGACACTTTGATATATATAAATAAGAGGATTTACAGAGATGCTTTGTCATCGGCTCTCAATATTCTTAGATATCCAAGTGAAGCTCTTTGAAAGGCAGAATCCGCTATGTGGCTCTCAAATCTTTCACCGTCTGAGACTGTATCGGGCTGTCCAATCGGAACACAAAGCTTCCTTTGTTTGCTACGTCACCCTGAATATTCCCTGCATTCCCATAGTGGAGTGAAGAATGAAAACTTGAGGAGGCAGTTTAGAAAGTTTGAAGAAGTCGAGAGCTGTTTTAACAAATTCCTTTTTGAATTTGGCACCACATTGCTGAATCTACCTTCCAGTCAATTCCTCTTTCTTTAAAAACCCATGGCTTATTTTTGCTACTGAGTAAGAGACAAAACTAAAGCAAATGACACAACATGATAGACATTTGGCTGTAACAGAGAAACATCACAATAATGTGTTGGGGTTTTTTCTTCTGTTTTCTGGTCACTTTGTGATAAGACTAAGAAGAACTAAAACTCAGAGTGTCCTTTAACATCGAGCCTCAGGTTGTGAATTACAGTTCCGGCCTACAAATGGGAACACATACGCACTTCACGTACGATACGATACGAACAAGATTACTATGATTCCTCAGGCCAACGGGTAGGTCTTCATAAGTTAAACCTGATGATGGGATGCTCTATCTGTTGCTCAAAGTCAGCAATGAACACTTGAGAAGAGAACCACAGACTGCGAAGGGACATTGTCCTGGGTGGATGGGATGAAGGTTGGGTCAAAGGAATGAAAGATGTTTTGTGAAGGTTGGACATTAAATGCATTGATATATGTCATGTTGATAAGAGGTAAAGGGTGAGCAATGGATGGAAGATGAGACAACAATGACATCATTATGCTAACGTTTTGGTCTCGTTCCTCTCCACTTCCCTGCTCTTCTCCGCTGTAGTTCCACGCCCTGCTCGTCTCCGGCCACCCTCACCTCGCTCCGTCCATCGGGCTGGGTTCCGCCTCGGACCCCGGGTCGCCTGCCGCGGGGCCGGGGCTTCAGAAGAGGCCCGCGGGGCTCCAGGCGGCGTTGTGGACCAGGCAAGTGCAGCACTGTATGGCCTGCCACCAGCTCTGGCAGTTCAAGGGCTCCACATTGGCCTTGGCCATCATCACCTTGGAGTTGGAGGTGCTCACGCCCGATTGGTTCTCCGTATTTACCAACCTGCTGAAGAAAGCGCAGGTAAGAGAAAAGCACAGGCTCCTCCTCCATGATTATAGTTGGTTTGAGTGAAGAGAATGTAGAATGTTCAGGAATTTACCCACAGAGAAAATGTATACCAGAGCCCAACTGTGCTGGGGTTTGGAAGACTTTAGCTACAAAAACATTGGAAACTGAAAATAAACTAGTTGATTCAAAAACAAAGATATTGCTTTACATTAATATAAAAGATCATTTAGAATTACATATTTTAAGAAATTATTAGAATCGTTTAGTTTTCAAATGTAAACTCTTTCACTGAGCACATTTTGGTTTCAAATATAACCAATGTGTCTAAAAATGTGTCTACAAATACAGTATACACACTAAAAATGATGTTTTACTCTAAAAAAATATGGTAATTATCCATATGCAGTACATAAACTTCAATTTTTGTAAACCCATGACATATCCCCACGCCAATCATTAGTCAAAAAATAATCCTGTTTTGATAAAAAGGATGGAAAAGGATGAATAAGGGTTTAAAACTCCCCAGATGAAAATCAATTTACCATGGATTACCAGTTCTCTTTAAGATGCCAGTCCTTGTTTTTATCTTTAGATGTCCCACGCTATTTTGAAAAACCTCTCGCACCTTTTGCAGTGCAGAAACAGCATCAATTATCCTCCATACTGCTGGGTGTCTTGGATAAAAAGGCACATATTGGCACATTCAGATCAACAAATGCTGCCAAAAACTGACACAAACACCCCTTTGGTTATTCATACGCTTATTCAGGTCCATCATGATCACACTGAGGAAGCTAAGAGAAGGGAAGAGTATTTTAGTCAAATTAGACAAAATTACAATCCCACACTAGGGAAACACTTGCACCCCATTTTAGGGTCAATGAAGGCTCTCTCAGTTTTCCACAATGGTCCTCTCAGAAAGGACTCTCCTTCTGAAGCACCTTTTGGTGTAGCTCACACACATTGTGATGTTTTTGCTCTCCCAGGTGGACAGTGGCGAGTTCATCCACTGCAAAGAAATGGTGGACGAATACCTTCAGAGCCTGGAGTTCTCCCTGCCGCCCAACGCCGTCTACATCTTCAACAGCGCCCTGATCCCAGACCAGCAGCGAGCCTGGAACCCCACGCTGCGCCTCAGGAGGGGGCGGGGGGGCTGCGCACAGCAGGGGGACACGGACGAGTTCTACGACGGCTTCAGGTGTTTGTACAGCGAGGAGACGACTCAGCAGGGAAACAATGTCGATTCCCAGCAGAAAAACGTCTCGCCCTGCCCGCCTCTGCACCCCGCCCTCAACTAGAGGGACGTTTATTCACACCGTCCTCCCATCTCACATGGAGAATGTCCAATATACTGTAGTTCAGCACATCTAACAACCTCATTTGCAAGCTCTGATGTTACAGACGTTAACCGAGATGTTCAACCTGCAAAATTTTTTAGAAATTGGTTCAAAAGAAGATATAATTTTGGATTCTACCGTGCACTTGTCCACACAGAAGTCTGGAGGTGTGTATGGATCGGAGGTATTCTGACGCTGTTACTTTTTTTTTAGCGGGACAGAAATTATGTTTCTCTTTGGTGCAGAGTTAACGGTCCATTTAAGTTCTCAAGCTATTATTATTATTGTTATTTTTAATATTATTATTGCCATATTTTTTACTTTTAAACATACCTGTCCTTAAATATCCTCCACAAATGGTTCAAGTGTGAGGTCAAAGAAGAAGGATTAGGCAGTTATGTGTGTTTTTATGAGTGTGGTTGAAGCCCAAGAGCGGCTTTTTTTTAATGTTTGTGAGTTGATCCTGATTTAGTTTGATGTGAGGTGTCTTGGTGTTCAGGTTCCTCCAAGGACCACGTAGCACCTTGAGATAAAGACAAGCTTTTTTTTTTATTAAATGCTAAAAATATATATTTTTTCACAAGCTTTTTATTATTATTATTTTAATATTTTACCTTGTACTCATTTGTTGTATTTTATTTAGCAATTATTTACAAAAGCTACATTTTCCAAAATGTTTAATTTCCTGACTAAATGCTGCACATGTTTTTATTTCATTAATGCTTCAGTCTGTACTGATTTGGTTAATGTGACTGTTATTGCATATCAAACAAAGCAGGAGCACCTTTGGGAGATTAGTTTAATACTAGAGCAGAACAACATGAAATCACCTGATTGATGATCCCAGGATTACTGATTTAAATATTTCTTTTTAATTATTTCATAATGTATGACAGTGCCACAAATCATACACCAAATATTGTCAAAGTATTGGGGATAGAAATATCCTGTTTTTATTTGTAAATACCACATATTTCTGTTTCATCCCGATACTGAAATGTCTCCTCAACGGGTACAAAATATTATGTTTTCAATTTAAACTGACTCTCTGCTGCCTTACTGTGTTCAGAGAGGTCAGAAACGTGAGATAATGTGAACCAGTTACTGTCCGTTTCCTCAACTGTGAAGTCTGTTGCATTTATCAAGTCAGGCTGGAAGCAGCACAGTGACCAATGTCAAGGTTGTTTTCATTTCCATTTCTTCATTTAATGAGGCAGCTATCTTTATCATCTGGTCAACCACAGAAATAAAGCTATGACTTGAAAAGTCTAAAGTGGTATCTTCATTTTTGTCACTTTGAGGTTGGACGGTCTATGGTTTTTTCCTGTGTCAGAGATTACAAATTATTGGTAACATTCAAAACATGAGAAAACTAGAAGCTGTAACATGAACTTCTTTAAAGGGGACCGATCATGCAAAATGCACTTTTGTACGTCTTTTATACATGTATGTGTCCCTGGTGTTCCAGGGAACTCACCAAGTGTCAGAAAACACAACCCTCTCTATTGTCCTCCATACCCAAATCTCTAAAAAAGGGGCTGCAACGGATCTGATACAGACTGATCCAGATTTGAACACTTCTATGACGTCACAGAAGTGGCGCTACGGCTATTGGGCCAACTCCACCAATCAGGAGGAGACAGCCACGGCCATTGCCGTTCGAAAGCGCTGGAGACGCTGTAGTACATATGCCAGGCCTGTAGGTGGTGCTGTTCTCACAGAATCAGCCCTTGCAAAAACAGCTAACATTTTTCAAATTGAGCGAAATGAGGCATGGCTAAAATGCATGATCTGTTTGGTATTTTGAAAAAAAAAAAGTATAAATATGCCTTATATAGGTATGGTCCTACACTATATTATTCAAATATAGCATGATAGGTCCACTTTAAGTTAAACTTCTAGAAGTTCACAAAATGTTGACTGTTTTGAGTTTGAATTATTAAAACATAAAGAGTTAAGGTAAATTCTACTTTTTTTTGACAGAAGTAGCCAAAAATATATTTTTTTAAAGCTCCAAATAAGTGCACATACCATTAAATGTACCGAAAATAATACATTTAGGAATCAATTGATCACATACATTGAGGCTACTGTTTTAATTTAGTTTGTGATTAATTGCCTTTGTACCAATTCCCTTATTTACTTAGTATTTAACCAACTTCTGTCCTCCAACAGCACTATACCTCAGCCATAAGATGTGTACAGTGTCGGTGTGCATCGTGTCCTGAATGTAGAACAGAGTGTCAGAGAGCCATTATCCCTCAGCTGCTAGCAGAGTGTTTGTGTTCTAAAGGATAGAGGGGAAGAGGGCTGTGAACACACTGTCCTGCTGGAGCAGATCCAGTGAGGCCTGCAGGTGGTGGACAGAATAATAACAGTGCTTACAGAGCCATCACCGTTTAGACAAAACCATTCATCTGGGAAGAGCTGAACACTGGGTCCTGACTTCCTCCGTCTGTTTTCAAAGAACACACTTGTTCAGTGCCGTGAAAAAAGTAATTCAACTTCTGATGTTCTTAGAACTTCAAAAGAAGTGACCTTAGAAATTGTGATGGGAATTGTTCACTTTTTCTGCAGTTTTATCCCAAACATTTGATGATTTGATAGTAGCAGTAATCGTTAGATGAGCATGTTTTATATTATATTCTAAAATAATATTTACCAAATCCAATACTTTTGCAAAACATAAGGGATGTATTTTGGATTGTATAGTATCAAGTATGGTTAATTCAAAATACCTTCAATTAATATGTACTAAGCACATGAATTTAATATGCCATATATGAATACAACAATGAGTTAAATTCTTGCCACAATTTGATTTAAAACTGATGCCAATATTTAAATGAGGAAACACACTATTTAATCTGTCTTCACACAAGAATGATGTGTACAGACTTGTTTTTGAATTTTTAGACAGCGTAACAACCAGCTGCAATTTGTGTTAACACGCTTCCCGTACACCCACACGTCACCCACAACCACCGTCATCTCCCTGAAACGTACACACTTCCTCTAAAGACCTACCTCTTTTACACATGTATTCCTCCACCTTTAGCAAACACACACACGCATTGTTAAAGCAATGGAGGGTGGGGTGGGGGGGGGTGTGTGTACATACTAGACTGAACAAACATGTCTCAGCTCTTCAGTTACAGATCACCAAACAGGAAACACTGCATCTTAGGCTGACAGCTGTTGTGGTGACAGTTGAGGCCGAGAGCATCTGTGTCTGTGTGTGTGTGTGTATGTGTCTATATATATGTGTGTGTGTGTGTCTGTGTGTGTGTGTTTATACTGTATGTGTGTGTGTGAGGGAATAAAGTGGCTCTACCTGCCCGTGTTTCCCTTTCATCTCCCTCCCGTCTGAATATCGTCAAAGAAATCATGGCAGAGAGACACATCAAAGTCAGGATGAGGGGGGGGTTGCATTTATTTCCAACGACAGACAGTAAATACAGCTGCTCTCTTCTCTCCGAGTGTAAACTCTCCTACAGCGAGTTGAGGCTTCTATGTTTACCTGAATCCTGTGTTTGTACATATGCTGTATATACTGGCTTCATGTGTGTGTCCACGGTCACACACTCCCATCAAGGCGGAAACAATAAAGTTGCATCATTTGTTGACAATGTACACCGTCATATGTGCGCCTTACAATTATATCATATTGAAAAACTAGGTCATTTTGCATATTTAAGCTGGGTAAGCTCGATAAAATATTCACATACATTTATTGAGTTAATACGAAACAGCACCAAAATATTGCATACCTTTTTTTATATAGTTAGGACTAAGCTTTAGGTTGTCAGTACCAATGTATATGCAGTAATATATACAGTATACAGGTACTCAGTTGTATTGCTTTACATATTGCTATCTAAATGTATTTGAGCTCAGGGATTATTCTACTGTGAAATGTACTTAATGATTACAAAAGGTTAACAGGCACAAAACATTTCAAAACTCAGGTATTTAAAAAAAAGCTTGATTTCTTGGTCTCCATTTAGTAATTTAAATGTTAGTATACGATCAAGCTCATCATAAACTCTTTGGATACAAATTGAACGGTTTTAAATGACCTGATGTGTTACAATGTAGAGCCATAAGCCTCACGTTTCTGTGTAAATAGTTGATGGAAAAACACAAAAAACAACAGAAAATCATTAAGTCACAACATAGAAAAACTAAAATTGCATATATTTATAAAAAGTGTCCAAAAAAAGCATAGAATGTACGATCCTGAATTAATGAGATGGCCACTGTTGGCAGGTGAACATTTTTTTATTTTATCTCTCACCATCTTTCACTCTTTCTCTCCCCTGTGGCTTCGTCATGCTCATCATCCTCAGTGTCTTTGGTCCATGTGCACAATGTCAAGATGGAATGTCAAAATAAACAAACAAAATAAACAGGTGTTGTCGTTGCTATGGTGATGGAGGACAAATCCATGGTCGTGTGTGGGAGGGTATGCAGCGCCCATAAATTAACTGAAAAACAATGAAAAACAATAAAGAAAAAATAAATGAACGAGTAAACAACTACTTATGAAAATATATGAATGAAGAGCTCTAAGAAAAGAAGATGAAGTAGAGTGGAAAGAAACAGGCGCTGCTTAAGTTCAATTAAATAGAAGTTATTTGTGTTAGTCATATTTTGAGCCATTACAAGGTGGAGGAGGCTCTACAGTTTCAAACCTCTCTTCCTAATGTTTTCCTAAACTTTTATTTTCCTCAAGTTAACCAAAATGAGTCAGTAAATGAGTCTCCTAAGACTGAGGATGTGTGGGATGTCATTCATAAAATCATAAAACCACAAAATGGAAGATCAGTTCCCTAAAGCCGCTCTGACAGCAGAGTGTGTGAGCGGCCACAAGATGGAGCCAAGCGTCCTCACATAGACTCTCAGACAGAGCTATAGAGAAATGCATAGACCACTACACATCACTGTCTGAAGCTTAGCACGTATCATTTACACCCCCCCCCCCCCCCCTGACAGACACTGGCTTCATATATAATATCACTACAGAAGAATTAAGAATAAACTTAAACCTGCTTTGATCTGCAGTAAACTCATATTTTCAATGCGTTGCATGAGGCATTGCATTTGTGCAAACCAAAATAATATACAATGACAACACAGCACTAAGCTTTCCTCTGATTGGATCTAAAGGGACTGGCTCAAACACAAAGGTCTATCCACATTCTTTTGTCCACATAGGGTGCATTGTTGGTAAATTGTTGAATAAACCTTTAAAACTGTAAACTGTCAACCATATACATGATGTTCATTGCTTTGGATTACTGAACAATGGAAACTCTCTGAAGTCGATTATCATATTGGACTCAAATTAGTAGAAAATAAAACCTTTCTGAGAGGTGAGGAATTAATCTATGAAATGAAATGAAATGCAGTACAACACCTACAGTTAATGAGCTGAAGCATAAAAGGCATTTATACCTGTGCTATCATTAATACATACGCTCAATTAGCATACGCCTATTGAAATCACGTCTGCCCTGTGATCTGTATTCTGCTTCACCTATTTTTAAGCTCAGCTTTCAACTGCTTCACCGTCTCCTCCCTGAATATCCTGAATAATCAGAGCAAGGCAAAAGGAAAGAGTGAAAGGACAGGAAATGTTAAGCCTGGGCAGTACAAAAAGGAGGGGGGGAGGGGGGGGGGGGGGAGAGTTTCCGTAACACATGCCAGGCCTTTATAATAGCTGAAATGCTTGTGTGTTGGAGACAGGTCAGTAACGGCACGGCACATTCAGTTAAAAGCTCATTAATGTGACACTTTGCCACTGGGCTTGGCAAGATGCACGCCTAGCGCTTAACAGACTTGTAACAGGGGTTAGAGAGCAGAAAGAGAAGGGGTGATAGAAGCTGTGAGGAAATCATTTCAGGGTTTAAGGCACAGACTGAAAGGACAACAGGATTAGTTGAATAGAGGAGTTGGAAACAGCAGCTTCCTGCCATGGAGAGAAGAGAGAGTGAGTGATAAAAGGGAGGGAGTGCCTTACTTTTTCTTGTCCTTATCCTTCTTGAGCGGCTGAGATAAGGAGAGCGTCTCGGCGGCCACCTTCTTCCTGTTGAAGCCGTTCATCTCCTCCTCCAGGTCTCTCCGCTTCTCCTCCACCTTCCTCTTCTCCTCCTGGTGCATCCGCTTCAGCTGCTCAAACTTGTCATGCAGCTGATGGGAAGATGGACGGACAGGACGGGGGTGAGAAGAGAAGAGATTTGAGTTTGAACTTGTCAAGTGACATTTCACTGTTAAGCTAACTCTTTATGGTTAAATGGATCTGACAATGGGCTGAAGTGACAGCAACAAAAGGGTACCTCGTACATATGTTCATATATTACCGCATTTGTCATGTATTATGTAGTTATGCTGATAACCCTGACCCAAATAATGCAAAATGAAAGTGCTTCACATGATGTTTTTGCGTGGACACATTAATAACCACTTAAGCTTACTGTACAACCCCAACCAAGCATTTACCAGTTTACAATCAAATCAGCTAAAATGACATGAAGATGACTGGAAACTATGAGCTGATCTGATATATGTTCAAAACTAATATTGTGTCCTCAATCATTTCCACTTGAGACGTACCTCTCTCTCCTTTTCTTTCAGTTCTGCTTCCGTCTCTTTTACTTTGTTGACAAACATTTGTCGCATCTCTTCCTCTTTACGCTGCAGGTCCCCTAAGAACTCTTTCCTCTTGGCCTCATACGTCTCTTGAAGACTGGACGGATGAAAAAGACAGGAATAGATTAGTCGTTGTCTCCTAATAATAGAGACTCTCCCTGCTGTTGATACTTTGGTATCTCTGAAGTTTTGGAGTGTGTCTCTTCTCTCTCTCTCCTCTCTCTACCTGAACGGCTGGCTGTCGGGGTCTGTATCTTTGAAGCCCATCTCCTCCAGCTTGCAACGGCGGTACAGCTCGTAGTGGCGGGCGTGGGTCTGCTCCCTCAGATCCTCCATGTTGACCCTGATCAGCATCTCTCGCAGTTTCACAAAGTCGCAGTGGATCTCGTTCTCGACTAAAGGGAAAACACAGAAAGGATTAGTAGAGCAGCAACACATTCTGCTACGGTGTTTGAACAATTGGTTTCTGTTGTCAGCGTCAGATGTGTAGTCACATTTAGTTGAGTGTTTGCTTCTCTCTTTTCATTATGTTCCTGGCTGTCTTCATCACGTCTTCATCACGTCTTCTAACTCATTTTAACCCCATCTGTCACTTTGTCCACATCCCTTCCTCTCCACCTCTTTCTATCTTAAAAGCAGGAAATCATACCACATCTCTACAGGAATGTGAAATGCAAAATACAACTGGATACATCACATTTGGCATCCATTCAATCAAACTAATCTTTGCTGACAAAGAGGGTTTGATAATATGCCCTTTTTTGCAAAGTTCATTTTTCCTACTTTGATGACTTTAACAAGTTCACTTTAGTTTCACGTCTGACTGACTCTCACAGTTTAATGATTTCATGGTGGGGAAAGGCAGGAAGCGTTTCCTGCCTGACAGATTGACAGCTGGGGGGGGGGTTGCCCTGGGCGTCATGAAGCCTTTTTACTCCCAGGTCACCTCATTTACTCCAGAGCAACAATATGGACTTTTCTGGAATTTAGCACGCAGATTGTTTTGTTCTGTTAGAAGCCATAGCAAAGGTCAATGTGGTTAGTGTAAAGTAGGCATGGGTGGTAATATGTTGACTGAGGATGTAGTCTGGAGAAGCGGGGAGTTATATAGCAATACATATGCTGCTAATAGTTAGTAGCAGGGTGAAAGTATGATGGAAAACCAGGGATAATAGGGTCGTTCCTTATAATACAACAACTTGCAAACTAAAACAGTGGTAGAAAACGGATCGGATGAATTGCTTAAGAAATATTTTCCCATTTAAAAAGGTGAGCTTCCAAGATACTGTAGCTAGCAGGAGTGACAGTGCTTGCTACAGGTCTGATAAATGTGATATTGTAACAATATAAGAGTTGAATGCTTCCTTCAGACCAATGACCAAATGTTGCACCCTTCCCCTTTAGTTTAAGTGTGAAATAACTGATTGCAACCTACTTTAAACTTCTGCAGACAATCATATCTGCCAACTCTCCCATTTTGCACTGTCCTCATCAAGAAAAATCACTTTTTCCTTTGAAAATAAAGTTTTCCCCTCCCTTTTAAAGACTTTATAATACTTTTATGGTCTATGTGGAAACTTGGAAAACGTGTATTTGATGTGCTCAATCTCCAATCTTTAAATGAGGGCACACTGAAGTGCCACATTTCTGCTAAGCACTACAATCCTGCAGCACAACCTAAAGCAGCTGTGGTGAATAAGTGATATATCAGCTGCTTAGTCTAGGGAATAGTATAATGACTCTTTAAAAGAACACGTGTTGTCAGAGGGAAAAAAAGTACTTTCTCCTTTGAGGAATTTAATGTGATCAACCTGTTAGCCAACATCAGAAAGAAGCTATAAAGAGCTTTCCTGTTGTCTCAGATCTGTGTGGAGGCACGTGGTGTTTCAGGGGCTCGAGCATATGCAATTAACCCCAGGCTGAAAGTGGTGGGGACGGAGATGTATGTTGGGTTTAAATACCATCACAAGCTGTGAGCTGAGGACGCAAAGATGGCAATAATAACACTGGAAAAGCCTAATTAGGATGGCATTAAGCTTCTCCTGATAAAAAAGCCTGCAGTGCACGATAGCAAACCACAACGCAGCATCAAATAAGGCAACTTAATACAGTTGTGCCTGAACCGATCATCAAGATGCTCCCTCATTACACTAGGACATAAATCAATTTAAGTATCATCAACATCTGATTGAATGACCCACACTACATTTTTAAAAAGACATGGAAAAAAAGCAGCTTTCTAAATCACTTATTTGTACAGATTTGCTGTCTGACAACATATCATTAGTGGGAGTATACAAGTTAAAAACAGACATGAGCTGTTCTCTGGGGCTGCATCCAGGCTACTGAATTGGCTGTTCATTTGGCATGTAATAGTCTCTCTGTATTGACCCCCCCACCCCCCGCCCCCCCGCTGAGGGCTGACTGAGGGCCAGTGCTCAGACTGACTGCAGCGCTGAGCCTCAAGATATCCCAGCTCACACACACACACACACACACACACACAAACACGCCAGCATGCGAACAGTGACTTTTAAATAGAGAACAGAGAAAACATGGCTGCAGTAAATCTGCTGTAACGTGCCAAATGAAAAAAAACATCAAAATGAACGATGTGTCCCAGGATGATCATTTTTTTTGTTAAGGCTTTATTACTGTATGTCGTGATTGGGAGACAAGCAGATTTATTTATAGGATAGATATATGCTCTAAAGCCTACCAAGAAATGTTATTGTAATGTGTTGTATGGGTGGCGGTATATCTCAAGGTGGGTTATTTAGGGGTAATATGTGACAGAAGTGCACTGGCATCTTTCATATGTGTGATTCTGTTTCTTTCTTGTTTCAATTTCGGATTCTTTTCAATTAACAAGCAAATTAACAAACTACAAAACCCTACAATTTCACACAACAATTTTTTTTAAATGCTGTAATTGGGAAATAAATACTTACTGAGAAGCTAATGCAAGTCAGTGATTGATAACACCATGTTCATATACTGTACAAACACCCACTACATCATGTTTGCACGGTTAAACAAACACAGCAGCTTGCGGATAAGAATTATAGGAAGGTCTGCTTTAGGTCACATATGTCTCGATGTGAGAGATAACAAAGCATTACGATCTTGAGGGCTGTTGAATTACTCTTTTTATCAGCACACAGACCTTCCTCTGTTTTCACGTCTATGGAAATTTCCCATGGCTCTTCAAGAGGTTACCATAACCCATCTATATGACATCTGGCATCCGCAAACAGTTTCCACTGACACAGCCCTTCCTTTCTGTGGGCCAAGTGGAGTAAAAACACTGAGACTTCTGTCCTCTGCTGCCCTGTCTGCCCTCAGATACTGTGACAAAGTGTGTGATACCAATGGTGAGCCATCAGTTTGCAAGCAGGCCTGACTAGGCAAAGTGGGTTTTTTTTTTATCAAATCCCAGCAGCCATGATGTCAGTTGTCAGGCAATGATGGGCAAAGCAGATGAGAAAATTAGATGTACACAAAGAAAAAGACATTATTTGTCATAGATGTAATATGTCTTATCTTTGGATGTGTATGGAAACACAGCATCATCATTTCTTACAGCCTCAGATATGGAATATGATTATAATCGTTTGAACTAATCCTTTCTAGAATTAATTACCCAGTCAATTTTCTTTTAATATACATTTGAAATTTGTTGTGACTGAACTAGTAATAATTCTGTCTGATTTAGCTACATTTAGTCGGCTATAGAATTATTTTACATCATCCGTAAAAAAGACAAACAAAAATAAAAAAATATGAAATTGTTGTCTTGTAATGAAAGAGTTGTGGGAGATGAATTACAGCTGGTTATATATTTGAATTTAAGTTATTATCATAATTCTTTACATTAATGTTCCCCTTGATACCTGTGTGTTCTTGACATTCTACAGTGAGCATTTCGATGTATCATTATCAGACCTGTTCTAGCAAATATCTACCACCTGTTCATTTCTGTTGAAGAATGACAAAAACATTTTTGATTGACACTAATCCCCGAAATAAATGAGCTTCCAGTAAAGCGTAGATAACCTTTCACAGATGGCACTATCCTACATTTTGCTGAACAAAGCTATAGTTTCATGGGGACTGAAGGAGTCTGAAGGAATCTGTTCCCTATGAGACACACAGCAGGCTTTATAAATAACCATAGAAAGTGTCCTCTGAGGGTTGGGGAATGACAGTGGTCAGGGAAAGGAAGACAGGGGGAGGAACCGAGAGCAGTAATCCAAGGAAGGGAGGGAAGATAAAGCTTCTCTGAGAGTCCGAATCCCATCAGAGCAGTTATATTCTCACAGCACAATTCTGCGTGACATTCTTAAATTAAATTGTTTACTTTCATTGACAAGCCCAGAGGAATGAGCTTTGGGAAATAAATGTCCCTGGTGATTTCTCCATGAGCAACACATGACTGCAATGCACACACAAAGACAGATATAAATAGGGATAAACATACAGTATGTGCACAAAGTGGAAGACATTAGCCTCACAGATAGCGCTGCCACACACAGACGCACACTGGCAATTTCCCAAACAATCTCTTCCCACTCGTCCTTCATTTCGCAGTGTCACTCGGCATGAAGTCAGCCTCGCAGCTGTGGAGGGCGCTCGGCATTAAGAAGGAGGGTATAAATAAACAGGCAAACTGTGGGACGCACTGGACACTCCGCCGTGGCAGGAAAACATCTTTCACCATGGATACTGATGGACGTCACTGCCTTCTCAGCATGCCCTTTCTCCATTAGCAAAAACCATCGTCTAAACAACCAGTGGCATGCGGTATAAAATCTGTCCTTGTTGATGATGAATCACATGAATTCATTTTGTGACTATTATAAGAACGTTTCAGCCTCTCTTTTGCTTTATACAGGCAACACGATTTTTATCAGTTACTGGCAGGAAGCGGTAGAGTTATAATTTACTGGCACTTTAAGGAATATGTATTTTTATGGGACTATTTATCGATGTTACCTCAAAGGAAATAATTTTTCCATAGATGTCCTGTTGATTTAAGATAAATATTTAAACCTTAAATCACAGTGCCAATATTACAGTTTGGCACTGTCTTTGTCTCACTTAAAAAAAGTCAGTAAAGAAGTTAAACACCTACTGTTGTGCCTGCTTGAGAAACACAAACACACAAACACAAACACACACCATGATTAACTTGCATATGAATGGTTCTCACCTTGCACGATACCCCAGGGGTACTGTCTGGCCCTCACGGTTTTGTTCCCCACTTTGACCTCTTCCACGCTCCCAACCACAGCAAAGGGCAGAAGGGCCTGTGTAGGGGAAAACAAGTTTTTGTTAAAAATGTCAAAAGGCCAGGGATGTAAGTGAAGCCTTTCACAGGGGCTGAATTCCATCTCCCTGTTTTCTTTGTGTTAAACTTTAGAGTTTTCAAATAAAACCTTTCACTGTGGCTGTCGTCCCTCTTATCTTTCACAACCATCCCACACCACAGAGAAGTGTAACCACATCGACACATGAGCTGCACCAGAGCTGTGTTTTAAGTTTTACATGTGGCTTAGTTGGGGCTGAGAGACCTATTTGTTGAAGCGATAAAACACAAACAGACTTTCTAGCTACGTTCGAACGCCTCGTTAGGATCGACAGTGAAGCATCATGGGGAAAACATGCCTGATACAAAACCTCAAAAATGTGTGGTGAGTTGAAACCAGCTGGCTGCTCGCAGCTCAGAGGAACAAGCTGGTGAGTGTGGGCGCTGATGTAACGGACTATGAATAGATGGGGATACTGTACATGGACTGCATGTGGGAAAAAACTAAATGCAAATCTAATTTATCCATGAGAGAATTAGCTGTGTGTATGTGTGTGGGCATCACAGTGTGATTATGCATCATCCCCATTTTAAAATCAGAACTCAAAAAGGCTTTACAAATAAAAAGGTGTTTGTGCTTGCTGCCTGAGCCAAAATCAAGAGCACATGTTGAATTACATTGCTAAATTAATATAATTGTTCAGTATTTCTAAAAAAACAGTTTATTTTCAAAATGGAACATTTTTAAATTGACATATTGCCGGTTGTAGGAAAGCGTGTGCTGCTATAGAGTTCAAAAAATATTTTATTATGGAAAGAATTTAGGAATGGAGAACAAGTGTAATCAAACAGAGCCAGTAGTCATATAGTTTTGAGTTATAATGTTTGCTTAGACTGTTTGTTCAAGCACATGCCTAGGGTCAGCTGGTCTTTTAAAAATTGTTGAGTTTTTTTCCCCGTTTGCACTTTGGATTTGTGAGATTGCAAAGCGTCTGGATAAACAGCATTACTTCAGTATGTGTTAAAACAATAAAATGGTGTCAACATATGCCGCTGTTACCAGATGTGTAACACATGTGGCACTAAAGACATGATGTAACAAGACAGTTGGCACACAGATAATCCTTGTAAATCCTACAATGTTAAGAAGTGTCACAATTCTAAGAACAATGGGCTTTATTCACCCAATTTTTTTATTAAAACCCACATTGAGAACACAAGTATAAACATTTCTGAAAGCAAATTTTGGAAAAGATTTACGAATATAATAGTCAATGAGGCCTAACTGTATAATTTTTATTTTCAATAATTTGAAACGTGTCGCTCTCTGATCATTCCTGTGTTTTCTTTGAGAGCTCTATTTCTGTTCACACAAATATTCAAAAAGAGGTAACCACAAAACGATATTTAACTGAAAACACAAGGGAAATGTTTACTCAGAATATTTCTTCCACACTTGCCCTCGCTAACATCTCAGTAAATGAGCTGGTAGATCATTTAAATATATATTTTTTTGAAATGTTATAGATTCCATTGCTCCCACTAAGGTAAATGAAATGTCTGGCAAGAAAATATCTTCATGGAAAAAGGCCATGACCGTGGGAACAGAAAAAAAGAGTGTCGAAAAGCTGAACGCAGGTGGCGGAAAACAAATCTCCAGGTTCATTTTGACATCTATAGAGAAAGTATAATTTTGAAATGAAAAATGCACGACAGTCTTTCTTCTCTGACATCATTGCCAAAATCTAAAACAAAGCACGTGCCTTGTTTGCTACCATCGCCAGACTAACATACCCACCAGTGTCAGTTGCCTCTGTATCAGGGACAGGAAAACATTTGCTGTTCCTGATACAGAGGCAACTGACACTGGTGTCCACTTAAAATCAATTCAAACACCATGACACAATTCCATCTGATTAATGATAAAGACCTAAATGACATTATACAACAACCGAAATCCTCCACCTGCTGCCTTGATATTATACCAACATGCTTTTTCAAAAATGATTATCATTGCATGGCCTCAGATCTCCTACATATAGTAAACAAGTCTCTTCACTCCGGTGTATTCCCACGGGCCCTGAAAACTGCAGTCATTAAACCACTCTAAAAACGAATAATCTAGATGCCTCAGTAATGAACAATTACAGGCCCATATCAAACCTCCCATTTCTAGGTAAAATCATTGAAAAAGTAGTTTTTCAACAGCCGAGTCATTTCTTGCATTTAAATAACTGTTTCGATGTGTTCCAGTCAGGCTTTCGTCCAAACCACAGCACTGAGACTGCTCTTGTAAAGGTCTTCAATGACATCCACTTAAACACAGACAGTGGCAGAACTTCAGTGTTAGTATTTTTTAGTATTATTAGATCTCAGTGCTGCGTTTGACACTGTTGACCACAACATATTACTAAACCGACTGGAAAACTGGGTGGGACTTTCGGCAACAGTTGGTTTGAATCCTTCTTAAAGAAGAGGAAAAACTTTGTTTCTATAGGTTACTACACATCTGAGTTGACAAATATGACATGTGGGGTTCCTCAAGGCTCCATCTTGGGGCCTCTTCTCATTAACATCTACATGCTACCACTGGCTCAGATAATGAAAAACAACTAAATAAGTTGCCATAGGAGACTATGCTCCAATTCAAACACTGAGTAAGTGCATTGAACAAATCAATGACTGGATGTGTCAGAATTTTCTCCAATTAAACAAAGATAAAACTGAGGTAATTGTTTTTGGAGCCAAGGAAGAACGCATAAAAGTCAGCACTGAGCTTCAGGCCCCGCTCACACGGGACCGTTTGCGTTTATGCACAGTATGCGTATTCAAAAAAGTCTTCCGTTCACATGCATTTGTTTCATTTAACGTGTCTGTTCAAACGAGACCGCTGGAAACGCTGTAGTACATATGCCGGGACTGTAAGTGGCGCTGTAACTTCCGCCACAAAATACACCAAAAGCAGTGAAGAAGACTCCGCAGCAGCCCCGCAGCAATGTTGCCATGGCTACCCTTCTGTTTACGCCCCGCCGTGGATTTAGCAACATGTAGTTCATGTAATTCTCCATGTCCACTTGTTGCTGATGGTTGTGGTAGAGGAGCTGTATATTTTTGCACTAATATCTGTAGCATGGTCAGTAGCAGTAGCACTAGCAGTAGCTACTGACAGGAGGAGGAGCATGTCTCCGTGGAGAGGACTCGCTCAGAGAGATATTCTCTACAAACACCGGGTGAGATCCTCCTTTGTCAATATAATGGATCAATGCATGAAATCTGACTCTGTTTATTTTGTTTAAGGAGTATATTGGGCGTTAACAATTCTGGTTTGCCTTTTATAATATTATTTCATTCAAGAACCCCTTGTGCGTTTAATTAACACAGCCATGCTACAGCAGTGAGCAGGAGAGGTGGGGAAAGGTGGGGCTATCGTTATTTTTTCAGGAAATATTCGTATAGAGGTGATTACACGGACTCGGTTGACCCCCCAGAGCGTTTCGTTTGCAAATCTATCCACCTTGGGACCCGTTATCGTTTGTGGGGTCAGTTTCTATCGGCCTCGTGTAAATAATAGGGCTATACGCACGCGAAACTATGCAGATACAAGCAGTTTTCTCCTCGTGTAAACGGCGCCTCAGTCTGCAATGTTCAAAACAAAAGATAAAACCAGAAATCATGTTTACTGACCTGAATTTCATTCAGTTATTATGCTCCAAATATCTGGAACAAACTCCCAGAAACCTGCAGGTCCGCTGCAACTCTTACTATTTTAAAATCCAGACTGAAGACTTTTCTTTTTGCCGCTGCTTTTAATTGAACTTAATTAGGGATATTGGCAAATATCTGGAACAAACTACCAGAAACAAGCAGGTCCGCTGCAACTCTTACTACTTTTAAATCCAGGCTGATTTCCAGGCTGATTTCTTTTTGCCGCTGCTTTTATTCATGTACCTGTGTTATTCATGTTTTATTATCTTTGCTTTTGAATGCACAATTTCTTAATGCTCTTAATGTTTTACATTTTTGTAAAGCACTTTGAATTGCCTTGTTCTATAAATAAACTTGCCTCGCCTTGCCTTTCCTCATCTTGCCTTTCCTCATCTTGCCTTTCCTCATCTTGCCTTGCCTTACGAAAAAAAAAAGGGGTGACTTATTCCAGTTAAAGTAAAAAGATGCTTGTTAGGTGTCGCAACATGACTTACGTTCATGGAGGCGTTGATCTCACTGACAGCTTCGTCGTCTGTTGGGAATTGATAAATTTGGACCCCGTTGCTGACCAGCTCGCTCATAATCTTTATCTTAAATTTGTTGAGCTCAGTCTTGGAAATGGTGTCTGCTTTGGCGATGATCGGTATGATGTTCACCTGAGGAAAGGATGAGAAAAAGACAGAGAGGAGTTAATAAGATAAGTTATAAAATGTGTAGTCCATTGTCCTTGTTTTAATGGTTGAGTCTGCCAAAGACATACGGTATATGCATTCCTAAAGTGAAAGCTGCTTTGTTTGTGTTGAAGGGGAAATGTGGAATTCATATAAACCCATCAATTTCAATATGATGAGAAGATGCAAAGAAAATCGATGTATTCGGTAAATTAAAGATTAGAGCAATTCACTGCCATAGATCAGCAGGCCATTAACAATCAATGTGAATAAAGCTAATTAAACATACCGAGGACCTACGTATAAACAGAAACCAACCTAAGTACTGTGCTTAATATTACTAAGAAGGCATCCAAGACCATATGCAGCAACACTGTTTAGTGAATACACTCAGACAGAACCCCAACAGATAATAAAACAAACAGCGATCATAAAAACAAACCAGGCTTCATCTCCAATCAGCAGCAGATGTGCAGAAACAAACATGCAGTTTGTCTGCTTTTCTCAGTACGGCTGCATTATCCCAGTCATTAACCGGGAGGATGCTGAGGATCCCCACAGATTCACTCATCAATTCCATACTGTAGTGTGCCTCAGAGCAAGAGCCAGCGCTTGTTAGGACTCAAATGACAGGCTCATCATACTTTATTGGATCATTAATTTACAGCAGGGCAGCTAGTATCGTGTTTAAACCCCTATTCAACAAACCACGTTTATTAATTGCGATCCAGTTCTGACAAGTGAGGAGGGAGGGGACAGAGATGTTAGTTCACTTTCCACAAGTGGGTTTTCCAAGCTGGCCAAGAAGTATTCCCAAATAGTTCTCAGTGTCAGGAGCCCCAGATGGGTCCATGTGACCACTACAGAACAGTTAGCATGTAAATAATAATTGAAGACTTAATAATACTTGATTAACTAAAAATGATTCTGTCATATTTAAGAAAAACAAAACGTTAAAACAAAAGGACTCCTCCTTCAGACCTTATCTCTCTTCCTGCCTTCATCCACCACATACCACACTCACTGGCTTCAACCATCCTCTGTAGGGAGGGGTGATTTACAAGAAAAACACCATTGTCTAGCCTTGACAGCAAACTCTGAGCAGTTAGAGCAAATAGTTATTTCTGCTCTGGTTTGTCAGTGACAGGGCTATTTCTTTCTTCTTCAGTTTAGGATTAAAAGTTTATATTCCCACAGATTATACAACACTTCTATTGGTATCTCAGCAAAAAAATACAAAACTAATGTGACCGTGGATCTTAATTCTACTGAAGATCGAGTCAAATGCTTCTAATTGCAATGTAAAAATATAACCATGTATTGTGGTGCTGGTTGATTCATTTGAAAACAACATCAGTTCCAGCTTCTTAAATGTGAAGATTGGCTGATTTTCTCAGTTTTATAATTGCATATTTTTAGGTGTTGGATAAAACAGTATTGTTGACGTTTTACTTACTAAGGACACAATCGGTTAATTTAAAAATTACCTGTATGATGAATCAACAACCAAAATGAATCATTAATGAAGCCCTAATGTATCTGTGTCTCTTTTAGGCTAGTAGAAGCAAGCAGGTACTTTTGTGGTTGGCCTGTGGGTATCTAGAGCTCATGAAAACGTGCTAAGACAGATAGCATGTGGCGAGCCACTGCTGCAAGTTGCCAGCAGCACATTATTATTTTATCTAGAGACCGCTGCATAAAAACCCACCAGGCCTGTAAAACAGAAAAGTGTCACATACACACTGTGGTCATCAACACTGGCTTGCTTTCAGATAAAACAGGAGTCATATTTCACAAAGTGAATAGATTGCAAAAAAAGGGTCTGAAGGAGGAGTCCTTTTGTTTTAACGTTTTGTTTTTCTTAAATATGACAGAATCATTTTTAGTTAATCAAGTATTATTAAGTCTTCAATGATTATTTACTGTTGCTCTCCCTGAGGTTTCTCCCATTTTTCCCTTTAAACTGTGGGGTTTTTCATTTTTTGGAAGTTTTTCCTTGTACGATGTGAGGGTCTAAGGACAGAGGGTGTCGTATTGTCATACTGATATTCTGTACAAACTGTGAAGTCCACTGACACAAATGTAACATTTGTGATATTGGGCTATATAAATAAACATTGATTGATTGATTGCAGGGACAGAGCCACAGGGGTCAGAGAGGTTCTCACGGCAACCTCTAAATCTCAACACACTGCTTTACTCACAATGCTGTAAATCATTTTGGATAAAAGTGTGTCGCCAATACTGCTGTCATTTTACACGTTCAGGCACTGTGCAAAATACCTTTTCAGGGTGTGTCACCAAAATGTCCTTTACAGACATAATGGAGGTTTTCAAGGATAATGGTTTCAGCTTTTGATCACTCTGTTGGCTGCTTAAGACAGAACAGAGGCTCAGTGGTCAGCGCTGCACCCTTATATGAAAAGAACTGCTGAGTTTGGATCCTGGCCCTTTCTATGTGAAGTCCTCTCTGCTGAAGAGGATTCTGGTTCTTGGCTTCGGCCACTTGGTCCTCAGGTAAAACTTGGCAGTAAAAGTAGTCGGGATGGCTCAAATTGGAAGAAAATATGTCCAAAATGGATTCCACTAGAACTGTCTTCAATAAATTGTAATAATACATCAACATTTATGTTAAGTGAACGTCATTTAAACATAGTAAAATAATGAATTCCAAAAATACGACAAAATTATTGAATCTGAATCCCCTATTAAAACTTTAAACTGTCCCTTGCAAGGAGCAGTTTGCTGAATAATCCGGTCATTGTTTTGACCCGGAGACACTTGGCAGAGCTGCGTAGCCGTGCGCTGATAGTTGGCAGAGGTAAGTCGGCAGGTTTTGGTCACAGGCTGACCATCTGCTTTGCTCCCGATTCATTATCACTGCCTCAACAGACAGGAGCAGGGCCAACTTTGTCATTCATGCAGCAGTGCTTTCAGAAACCTTAAGTGCTGTGACAGGATGTACACGAGCATATACACATCCTTTAAATCATAAAAGCCAATACAATTTAATAGAAATTACATTTTGTCTCTCCGGTGATGCAGCTTTCTCAGATTCAGTGCTTACAAATATCCAAGGAGTTAATATGAGTCTCCTAACCTTAGGTCGAACGAGCACCTACAAGGTTGACACACAAATCTTCACTTTTGCCTTTTAACTGCCTATTTCCTTCAGGGCTTTGAAATCTTTGGATGTGCTTTTTTCTGCCTTAAATTCCACCAAGATTCAGGATCAAAAACCACTGAACAGTTTTAGCTTATATCACTGAGCCTTTTTCAAAAATATCTTAGGAAATCCAAAACGTCAAGAAATTGAATTTATAAATGTGTGTTATCAAGAGGAAAAATATGTATATTTCAATACCATAAACTTATAGACATTATTTGCTTAAAATCTATCTCTATATGAATTTAGTCTTGATTGATCATAAGTAGCAATAGTCGCAATGCCTTGCTATATTAGCTTAATCTTCAAAAGAAAACTTCCAAGTAAACTGCTGACAAAGAAAAAGATTTTCCAGAAGATATAAATGATATAATTTCAACAATTACAGCTCCAATTTATACCTTAGAATTTGCCTGCTTGCCCATTTCTGTCACCGTCCTCCCCCCCCCCCATAACTAACTCTCCCACTCTCCCCTGCTTTCACGCTCTAACTGCTGCTCTGATGAGATTTGTTTCCACCGGTTGTCTAATTGAGGCTAGGCCAGTGATTTTGTATCCACTGAGCTGCACTCATCGGACAATGGCAAAACATGGATCTACCAACCAATAATTTGTGAGGGAAACTTGCACACGAGCAATAAAAAAAAGTAACAAATCAATGTGGCTCTGAATGTAAATATTGACTTCTGTACAGCTGACCCGTAAACTGGAATTTGGTCAAACACAAACTCAGTAATTATAATTATTTACACTGTAGATTACTGAATTGTGTTTAATCATATATAAATTGATATTATATAAATTGAAATGAAGAAAGTGGAATTGACCTTTCTTTCACAGCCACATTTTCAACCTTTTCACTTGGACACATGCAGCTGCTAAAACATGCAGGCTTTTAGGTGTGAAACCCCATATACTGTAGGGCAGGTCTTGAAATCCTGTACGTCAAAAGGGAAGCTTGCCCATTCACTCGCTACATTTTTCTTTTAGCTTTCTTATTCTTTTGGGACACACAGAGCCCCCACCACAACAAAACAGATCAGGGATCGTCACGTCTCAGCGAAATGCACACCGGCCTCAGTGAAAGCGAGGTCAGATTACAGCAACACTGTTGGTTATTCACAGACACTGGGAAAAGCATTTTGCCAAAGGGGAAAACCACAGTATATATCTCCTTTTGTGTTTGTGTGTCAGTTGTTTTTACCTTGCTGTCCAATTTTTTCATAGTGACGAGGTCCAGGGACTTGAGGGAGTGTCCTGTTGGGGCGATGAAATATAGGCAGATGTGGATCCTGGTGTCGTGGTAGTTAAACAGCGAGCGTTTGATCTTCAGCTCTTCCTGCAGATAGTTTTCAAACTGAGTGTCGATGTAGTCAACGATGGGCTTGTAACTGTAGGGAGAGCCAAGGAAGAACTATAAGGATTTTTATTTGTGGTTAAAAAGCATAAATATTTGGCTTCCAATTCATTTGTAATATTGTGAAATGAAATATGGACTTGTCACAAAGGAAATTAAAAGCGATAGTTATGTTTTCATGCGAGCTGATTCTACGCCAAGATTTCGGCTTATAGCTGTACAGCTTACTGCTGCATGAAACGTGTTCTCGGCTTATGGTAGTTTGGTCACAAAAGTCACAAAACATCCCGTCCTCTCTTAGTGAGCATGTGTAGCATACAGTGTTACCAGTAAATCACATAGAATTCAAACCTCAAATGTTTTCACATTGTACATTTCTATCTGAGAGTCAATGGTTTCATCAACAATATCAGAGCAACGTGAATTTTGATATTATATAAATTGAAATGACTGCTAGACAGGACTAACTCTGAACCAATACTGGAAGAAATTTGAATATTGTTTTAGGACTTGACAGCTGATTTGTCTTCATCACCAATATCAGAAATCCCTTACCTTGCAGAGACATATGTGGAAACATTAGTCCTAACATAACATAAAGACGTTGCCTCTATAGTAGCTAATGCTAATGCTATTAGTTGCATTGTGATATACATCACGTAGCCTGGTAGTGCCTTTTATTCTGAACGTTTTTCTTACTAGAGTTATTATCAGGTTAAATGTCAGTCCTTTGTTATTACCCTTTTCCAAAATGATATCTTATCTTTGTTAATGCAGCAGTACTGTTTGTCTCTGGAAGCTATTTTTAATGTCTTTCAACCCCCAAACGGGCACCAGTCTGATAATGTTAGATGAGACCGTTTGGAGAAAATGTGTGCTTTGTTTGGAGCAGTTTATTTCAGTCCGCAGCTTTAACTCATTTAGTTCAGAGAGATGAGAATGACAACATTAGACCACATACTGTATTTCATAAACTGCATCACAGCTGCCACAAATGAAAGTCTCTTTGAATTGAGGTTGTGATTTATCAGTCACCATAGACACAAGTCTTACAGTCATAGTTTAGTTCTCACAAAATCACTCTGGCCTTGCATATTATGCTGTTGAAGACTACATGATTTAATGTGCTGGGTTTGAATCCTTTCCTGTACAAAGCTAACAGCGCATCATATAGATTGCATTGATGCTGGTTTCAGGCATGGCGCAATTCCTATTTTTGTAAAAATGTGCACTTGTTTTGAGATTTGATATTGTAATGTCAGAAAAAGAAGAATTGATAAACTCCTACCGCCCACGTCTTAGCATTTTTATGACTTTTTGTAAGATTGATTTCATAAATTGTAATACCCATGAAGATGTATTTTTTAGATGAATGATTTCAATGCCTTTTAAGACTTTTAAAGCATCCAAAAGACTGAAGTTTGACCCACATTATCAAGTTTTTAGGAAGAAAAGTGGAGCAACCTACAAGAAACAAGCCCAAAATGCAAAGTTTCATGAGTATAATAAGACAGATCTTTACATTTGTCAGCCAGATTTCTTTGTGTGCTGGTGACTCATTTCCTTTTCAATAGCTGTCTAATGCTAATAAATTCTTAACAGGAAGTCTTCCCACATTTTACAGCTCCGAGTGAGACATAAGTCCAAACAATATACGAGTCTATATCCTCAGCCAGCAGCATGTTTACAGTCATCTGACCTCTTCCTTCACATCTATCTTCAATCTTCTCTGAGGAATGCACCAACTCTGACCTTTTGAGGCTCTCTCAGTGTGCATGTACAGTCCGCTGCAGGCTCTGTCCTTCAGCATGTTGGTTTATACGGCCTACAGAAAAGCTGCTATCAAAGGGCGTGAGAGTGCTGCTCGCTGGCTAGGTCACAATAAGAACACTCCATTCCACAGCTGCATGTCTAAGAAAAAGCCATTTCCTCTTTATTGCTCTCCCAGCTCGTATTCTGTTCTATAGAGAACTCTCAAAACCTGGACTGATATAAGTTTGGGTCTGTTTCTCTCATTAGTATCACAAGCCAACATGGACCTAGTTTCGGCAAAACTATGCAATGTAATCTTGAAAGCTGAAATGAGGGTTTGCATAAGGATTGACAGGAAAATTAGTACCAGATGAATGGGTTTTGACGAATAGGACAAACCCGTTATAACAACATTTAAACTTTCCTCATGCTTAAATGGCACTGTTTTTGTGCATTAACTGTTTCTTTTATACACATTGTCGTCTTAATTCTGCAACAGATTGACTCAAAGTAAGGACGGTTTCGGTTTGATCTGAAGTTGGTTGGTATTTATATAAGAGTATGGCTTTATACTAGTTTACATTTGGTATGAAAGTATTTCATATATAAATTGATTCAGAAGCTTTTCAATGTTTTACAGAAGTCTCGTACCCAAATATAACTTCGAGGAACTTGAGTATATCCATTTTATGCTACTTTATATACTACTGTACATCATTTCAAATATTTTGACTTTTTACTCCTACAGTTATCAGACCGCTGTAAAACAGAAACAGTAGTTTAACAATGCTTAAGCTATCGTGCAGCAGGTAAACATGTAGGAGCAGCTTCACACTCAAATATATCGCTGAAATGCTGTTATAAATAAAAATGGCATCATGGCATCTAGGCTTCATAATGCAACTATCCTCACATCATTGATAATCATTGTACCATCCCTCACCTGTCCTCTTTGTTGATCTGATCACCGAAGCCGACGGTGTCAACAATCGTCAGTTTGAGGTGGACGTTGCTTTCTAGCAGGTCGTATGTTCGCGGCCGCAGATACACGGCATTCTGGTAATGGCTCGCCTCTTCGTTCTCGAACATGGTATTAAACAGCGTGTTCATTAGCGTTGATTTGCCGATGCCAGTCTCCCCTGTGGGTGGGAGGAAGTAGAGAGAGATGAGAGAGAAAGAGAGAGTTTAGTCACTTAAGTCACATCGAAGTAACTCATCAGCTTTCAACAAGAGTTCCTTGAATTGCTAATTATTAACAGTATTCACTAATCTAACTCATTCTGTTACACACATTGGTCACATGCTGTTGTTTGATACTCACCTACACACAGGATGTTAAAGCAAAATCCCTGTGTGACCGATTTACTGACCAACTGGTCAGGGAGGCTGTCAAATCCAACATGTCCGCCCAAATTAAGGCTACGCTTCTCTTCATTCTGAAAGACACAAACAAAACATTAAAAGATGGCTCTGGTTGAATGGGAGGAAAACACACATGGGGAAGTCATTAGTTGGAGTTAGGAAGAGCTGAAACTGAAGAATTCACATTCCTATGCAAATGAAAGACCCTGCGTGAGTACATTCGGCAGATGTAAAACTCATCGTCTAACATTATGAGATAGGGAATGCAGTGAGGATGAGCTTTAAGAATAATCCTTCACAAGCATGTTGAGCTAAAGATATTTCCACCCAGAGGAAAGATGCACTTTATAAGAAGCGTGCAGAGAAATAAACTCAGTTATTAATAAATGTTACTTATGGAGTTGCAAGATGTGAGTTTAGCAGCCGTTTTGAATAATCACAACACAAACATTTAGAAGCTACTCTTTGCCATTGACGCAGCACTGATGGGTCAACACAGCCACATAGTATAAGCAATGTGAATATAGATATACAACCAGCCATCTATTTTAGCCCCTGTATCATCATGTTTTCCAATACATTCAAATCGAGCAAAACAAGCTGCACCATAGAACATGTGAACAAAACAAAAAAAGATCACCAATCATTATTGTGTTTTTTTGCTGCAAAACCACACTAAAGATCAATCTGCATTTAGGAGAGTGCATACTGGAACTAAAAGCACAGTGTTCACAGATATACAACCAACCTGAGACCGAGAGAGAAAACGATTGGGTCGTAAGCGTTTTCACCTTTGATCTCCCCTAGCTCACCCATCTGAAGGAGAGACAGCTAGTGACAACAAGAGAGTGGAGCTGCAGAGGAGCAGACAGACAGCACCTTGAGATGAATGGGGCCACCGAGCTGCTCTGGCTCAGCCACGAAGGACTGCATATTTGAAGGGTGATGTCACCGAGCACAGGCAGCAAGCGGAGCAGAACTGTACTAAACTGAGAGGGGGAGGCAGGCGCTGCATATACAGTAGATACGTTCTAAACCTGATTGAACTGTACAATAAAGGATGAGAACTGTGTGTGTCTGTGTGTATAAATATATAGGGGGGAAAGAGGGGCTTAACACCATTGGAGTAATCTGACATGAGCTGAGCTAGGCAATAGTGAGCTGAAGCATGCTGTAAGTTCATTACATTACAGTAACATAACAAATCCATAGAAGCTGTATGCTTAAACATGTCTTATACATCAAATCAAGCTGAGGAAATGTGTTTTATGGCAATTCAGGTAGCAGCATAGCCAGTCAAAAACATTGTTTGAATGAAATATAGCTAATAGTTCCCTTTTTTGTCTGAATGCATTTTTTGTGAGTCGCTTTGAACAAAAGCACCCAAATGAATGTGATGTTTGTGGGCTTTACAAGGATAAGGAGGAGAGCCTTTTTGTTTGTTAATCATTGTTAACTCAGAGCTTGTCAAGCAGCATTATTGCTTCCCTCTGTGGTGTTCAGTTGGATGAATGAAGCTTGTGGAGTTATTGGATAGATTGCTCAAGGGGGAGGGTGTGAACTCTGGTATCAGGCCTAGAAGGAAACCGATGCAATGACCCTCTGGATTCCTGAGTTGAGTTTAAAATTCAACAATTTATATTATGCATGCCCATTTTTCCCATCAACACCCCTTTTTTGGTTGAAGGTTGACTATGGTAGCTGCCTGACTTCACACAGACGGTGATTAGGACTCTTGCTTAAGGGCAGCTTGACAACATTTTTTGTGTGAGTGGGGATTTTCTTCTTTTTTTTTCACCACAAGTCTGGACATTTAAACTTCCGTTCACACAGGCTTACTTCTATGAAATGACTGTGCCTTTTCAATACATGTCCTTACATGAGACCTTATAAACATGGTTTCTGGGGTAATTGCTGCAAATTTACAAAACCACATTGGTGAAACTATCACATTTAGAAAAATAATAAAGATCCTGACTCATGAGGTAATTCTAGGTTGACCTCCTACACTGAAGCAGACGGAGCTGTCAGTAGCACATTATCTGTGTGTGAGTGTGTGTAAATACTCTGCAGCAGGCAGATGGGTTTGTGACTGAAGGCTACAGAAAGAGCAAGCAGACCTGACCAGCAGTGTTATCTTTAAGGATCAGAGGGAAAAGAAGTGCAGACGTGGACAGAAACTCCCCAAGCCGTGGCCTAACTGTCTGAATATGTGAGGGTGTACTGTCTGTGGTGGAAGAAGTAACACGATACTTTACTGGAGTAAAAGTATGTGATGTAGCAGTACAAGAAACAAACAATAACAAAAGTATTATCAGCTAAATATAAAAAAGTGTAAGTATAGGCAGTCATTGTTCTGAAAATAGTTTATTTCAATATTTATTTATTAAATTAAGGCTTGTATTTTTTTTTTGATTTACAGTGCCCTAAACATGTTCAGGTTCAGACAAATGAAAAAAGTGTCAGTGAAGTAATATTTCTAAGTTTTTTAATAAAATCTGCTTGTTTAGAAATGTTTTAGAAATTAGTGTCTGTAGCTTAAAGCAAAAATGAAGAATGCAGACCGTGCATTAGGATTAGGAAAAAATGAAAATGTAAATGTTTCCCTCTTATGAAGCTCTGCGTAGAGCAAACTGTGTGACATGAACCATTCATTACAAAGCTCAAAATAAACCTGATTGACTAAGTTCCACAAACATTTACATTTAATGACAACAGAACAACAACAAACATCAGTTATGAATGAGTAACCAGGCATCTGTCTACCACCCAAAGCTAGTTCAGAGAAGTAAAGAGCAGCAGCGTAAAGTATGAGAGGAATGAAAAGCTTCTGGTTAGCTGTGTCAGAGTGAGGAAACAACAGCAGTTCTCAGGCCTCAGTATCACCAGGCGAACAGGAAATGGCTTCACAGAGGGGCCCCAGGTGGCTCAAAGTCAAATGAGGCACAAACCATATAAGCTAGTTCACAATGCTGTGTGTTTGTAGCTGGCTGAAGTGAAAAGCCTCTTTCTGTCAGCAGTAGGCCTTTTTCACAGTCTTCTCACTTTCAGGGTTCTGGTATTGTGCATGCTGTCGCACTGTCATCGCTTACCGAGACACTTGAACAGAACAGAGCCATTGTTAACGTAATAAGTGACACATGTGCTTTTATTACTATAAGTCAACATTTCTCCTGTGAAAAGTCCTGCTATGTCAAATAAAGCAGCTACATGGTGTGTAGCCTTTATACTCCCAAGCTCTTAATGACTATAACAATGTGAGCTGTCGTTTTGGATCATTCAGTTAAGTCAATGTTTAATGACTTTGTAGATGTATTTTTGTATTATGTTGCTGATAACATGATTGATTATCTAATCTATGAAGTAAAAAAAAAATACTTATTTTGTTTAGCAAATTAGGAAATTGTGATATGCAAAGTAGTCCCTGGATAACTTTAAAACATGATGATTTTCTGATGAGTTGTGAGGGGCATCTCTTTTCTCTGATTCACAATGAGACTTATGACTTTATAAGAACCACTGCAGCTCTAACCGCTAACCATGTTGATAAGCAGACCAAATCGACAAGCCAAACTTCCAGCATGCTCCTCACGCTGTATCTTTGCCTCACGTCTTTCCAATCTTTTATTCTGCCCCTACCTCCCAGTTTGAAAATACATTTGTCCAGAATTTGAATTTCAACTCAATGTAACAAACAAGTATTTAAAAATTACTTGTTTGGCTAAATACCATAACAGCTCAAGGCATAATCTGTAGCATAATTGTACTGAAAGTTATGTGACACAGATCTAACCCGACATAAACTGAGGGCAAACCCAAGATGTTTTTTGCACCCATCACTTTTGGGGAAAAGTTCAAACATGACCTGAAATTCTCCTCCGAGTCATCCCCTCTCCTGCTGTCTCTTTATCCCCTCCTCAGATTCCCTCTTGCCTTCTGGCCTCCATTCCCACCTGATTTAAGTCTGGCTTGTGTTTGCAGCCTCAGTGAGCCTCCCCCTGACGGACAGCAGTAACCTGACAGACAGGGACACACTGCTGCAGCTGATGCATGTATGTATGTATGTATGTATGGGTGTATGGGGGTGTGTGTGTGTGTGTGTGTGTGGGGGGGGGACACACACACAGGGAAGGACTGCTTTGAAAAGGCTTCAAATATTTACAATAACTTGAGGTGCACTTTGTGTACTAGTAAACTAGTTTCTCTTAAACGGCTTGTTTTCACATTAAATATTAAAGGTGGGGTAGGTCATTTTGGAGAAACCAGCTCGAGTGCGCTAGAATTTGAAAATACACAGCCGGAACAAATCTGCCACTTCCTTACAGAGCCCCTCCTCCAACACACACGAACATGACCAATGAGGGCACGAGATAAGTTTGTGCACAGATGGAAGGCTGACAGGTAGGTAGGCCATCCAGTTATTTTAGCCGGGCCGGCTAAAATGATTGGTCGTGCTTTTTACAGTACTACGGCTTCCACAGATGACATTTTTTAATGGATTTTTTGTCAAAGCACTTAAGATATTCATTGCTATCGGGATGTTAAGAGCATTCCATGGAATATAACAAAAAGTGTATCTCGAGCCGGTTTCTCAAACTTACCTACCCCACCTTTAAGACAGATTGTATTTCATATTTTCAAAATGGTATTTTTTTCCTTTGAACACTTTGTTAGGTACTTCCCACTATAGATAGACATATACGCCTATACATACTGAGACAGGATTATAAAGAATTTATGATTGTTCATGTTTTTGAAGCATGACATGTATTCTTATTACTGCATTGTATAAAGCAGGGGTTGGGAACCTCCGGCCTACGGGCCGTATACGGACCACGAGACCATTTGGTACGGCCCTCGAGGTAATTTATATACACGCAAATAAAAAAAATTAAAGAAATCTAGACCGCAAAATAATTAAACAAGCGAGTGCCTGTTTTTCCTGTCCAAGGTCAGGGTCCTTGAACACAACACGAGCCTAACGTGTCATCACGTGGTATATGTCTCGTCTGACACATGCTGAAGGAGAGCACCGGAATACCGCTCGGCACTTCAGAAATTGCAGTACCCATAAGGAGCCGTACACATGCCGCAGTTTTTGCGTGGCTGTGTCTTTAGTTGTAAGCCCAGTGGCGATCTGTTCATCTGTCATACTGATCATACAGTCAATAACTTTGTTGTTATTAGCATCTGGTTAGCTAGCTATGCTAACAAATATAAGAAGCTTTTCCTACAACCAGTGAGGTAGAGGCACATCTTTATATGATCATTATAGTTATACAACATTAAGAGAATAAAGGAAAAACTGGTATAAAATAGGCCTACTATATGACAGTAAAAAAAAGTTTGTTATTAATAAACAAGAATACAGTTTAAAAAGGTGTATTTGTAAAATATCTATAAAGAAAAAGAAAATCTGCTTACTGTTCTGTTTCATATGGGTGTTGAGAGATGTATCCATAGATCTCTTAATTTTGCTCTCAAAGTGCACCAGATTGATGCTTTTAACTTCAATATTTGCATGCCCCCGGAACCCCCTAGAGGAGGTTAGGTTAGGTCCCCCCCACCCCACTTAAATCATGTTCACATGGATAGGACACTAAATACATTTTGCACACATCTTGTGTCCATATCTTTCTGTTTTGGTGGTCATGCCACAACCGTGCACGTGCATGCATGCGCGAGTAATGGTAAGATATCTGGATTAAGAGGTTGCTTTTTCTTTGCACAGCATGAAAGAAAGGCCAAATGAATGGGCTGTGATTTTAGTTTTTTTAAGCAGAGGTTGAGTTCAATCATTTGTACGGCCCTCGGAGGATGTTGTAAAAATTGAAATGGCCCTTGAGAGGAAAAAGGTTCCCCACCCCTGGTATAAAGGTCAGGGAGGCTAAAGCAAAAGGGGTGGGGGCAACATGACTTGGACTTGAGAACAAAAAGATGGCTAAAGGAAAAATGTATTATTTGATTGACAAAAAAACAGATCACAAACTATGGATTATACCTAATGAAAACATCATATGAAACTACTGACATGTGTTTTATAAAATCGTGACTTCTATGGCAAATACTCAGTTTTTGAAGGGCGAGTCATCTTTTTACCGACCACAGCATGCGGTTGGTGGACAGATTGGGGAACTCAGTCCGAGCTAGGTGTTAAAGTGAACTACATTTAAGCAACACTACTCTTTAGATAAAGTTGATATCACTTCCTGTTCAATGGCCTTTACATAGATTTATGAAAGTGCCTGTTGTCCCTTGAGTTGTAATAGTGTGTGTTGAATTGTACAGAAAACAATACAGTAAATATACTTATTACTCAGTCTTTGTTATACATATGTTCTCATGCTGCTACTTGTGCTAGCGGTAATGTCGTTGTGGCAAAAATGTTGATGGTTGAGATTAGGACGTAATGCGTGGGCCATCAGGAATTCAAAAGCTCAGAGTTAAAAAAATACTTTCTGTTTATTATCTAATCAAATGCCCTCGCTTTTTCTCTCTCTGTTAGTCACGCGAAACCATTGTATGGCCACATTACTGCTCAGCCATATCACTCATCTCTGCTCAACAGGAAGGACACAAAAATGAGAGAAGAGAGAGAGACAGGAACTGTTTTACGAGACAGACTTATCTTTAAATGACTTTTCAAAAGTCGAGTTTCCCCTTTTAAAACTGAAAGGAGAAAGATGAATAATGTATCGTAATTAAATCATTTTAATAGTCCTGTGATATGTTTTAGCCACAAGATACACTTCTGTAATTTCTTTATCAATTAGAGGTAAAAGCTCATTGCATGTAAGCCTTCACACACGCTAAGGATAAGTATTTAAGATCTAGACTCTCTTCTAGACTCTTTTTGGATGCAGTAAATCCTGCTTTCATTTTGTCATGCTATGATTACTCAAAAGAAGATGAAAAAACAAGAGATGTCATTCATCATGTGCACACATGTTGTTTTGACTACAGTAAGCAAATGCATTTTTCCCCATTTTGTTTCTTGTGTCGTTGTCCCCCCCTGCTAGAGCCATCTCAGCCAAGTCAGCATTCACATGCCTCGTGCAAGTTGCATGTCTCAGAATCCAAAAAGAATTGAAGAAATGTGACTCCATGCAGCCTTTGTTCTGTTCATACTGATGGAAAACACATTCTTATCCAATGTGAAGCAAATTCACATGAAATGTAAGGCACTTGAAGCTGTAAAGCCTTTCAACAGCACACATGACTGTCGATAGATTCACTGGGTGCTGAAATGATTAAACATAAAAGGAATAAGGTATAACTTCCAGGCCATCCAACAGCTGTTCAATGCGGACTACGTTTTATGCTGAACTTTGCATTCTTTGTTCAAACTGAATTATGGAATTTCAATATCAAAACATAGCTGCCTCTAAATATTCATTCATACTTTTCCAACAATATTTAATGAGCTATTTTAAATTCTAAAGCATCACTATTACTCTCCAAACATGTCTTCTGAGCATGACTGAATCTATAGATGGATATTGACTCAACAGAGACGCTGCAGCTTGGCTGTCATCATTCATCTACAACATCTGATTTGACACGCTCGCCTTTAGGCTGTTGTGGCCTGTATGTTCTATATATATATATATATATATATATATATACAGCCAACATCACTGCTGACAGTCAGTGCAGTCAACCTGCAGTCCGTTGTGAGCAGCTGAACAACAGGAATGCGTTTAAAATGAAGAAATGTAGTCTGAATAAAGCACACATTTAGATAATATATTCACAAGTTACTGTCACCCTCTGCACAAACAAGCAAAAGCTGCCTTTTTAAAGTGCAAAGCAACTTGCCACATAATTCCTCACTCCTTGTCTCTTGCCTTTAAGCAATTTATGAAGCTAATTTCATTTTATGCATGCAGGCCTCACGGGAGAAACAATAATCTTTGGGGTCAGTAAGCAGCACTGTACATGCTAAATATGTTGTAGGGCATTTCATTACATAACCATTTAAATGAACAGCATCATGTTCTATATACTACACACTCTATAATGCAATCAATGAGGGAAAACAATAGATGAGTAGTTGCCTCCATTGATCGCCATGTGCGGATCTGTCCTAGAAAGTTATACCAAATCTACGATATACGATTGATGAGGATCAACAGTGCAACCAACCACACATCCCTATCAATAATTTAACAGCGTGCTCTTTACACAACCTGCAAGGCGAGTAACTTTGTTCAATACAGTCCAATTTAGTTCAGAAAGTTAGGCAGGAAGTCGGACAGACAGCCAGGACACTGTGCTAACAATGTTGTTCAACTGGCCTGTTTCACTGCAATATCAGCATTTTTCTCATTAATCAATTGTCTTATTTTGTATTCCAAAGGATCCATTAAAAAAAAATCACAAGTCAGCATTATCCTTGGCAACCTGCATCCCCTCTTGGACACCTTCCTAATTTAAAAAATGCCAAGAGTGCAATATCCTATGCTCCTTCTTTTTTGGATCCTTTCTTCCCAGACGTGTTACACCAAGAGGTGGTAGGAGTGGCCCTGGAGTGTGTTCTTAATCTCTTTATCCCTAAAACTCTGTGTGCTTACTGTCCAATTCACCACCCCAGGGATTTCTTCAAGCATCTGACAAAAAGTTAATCACCCGAATTAAATCCCCTCCTGTGTATCCGCCTCGTCACCATAATATTGGCTTTTGAAATGCTTTGTTGTGTGAATTATTGACATACTTGAGGGCTGACTCTCTTACTCTATGCCATTTTCGTCAACCTGTATTGCATCCCTGAACTGTAACACACCTGACCTGACTGACAACAGGGCTTGTCACAATTATTAAAATGCAGGATACATTCCACTCTCATCTGACAGTATGACCCAACCTAATGCAAATGCAATGTAATGAGAGCTGGTTTAGCATATGGCTGGTAAAACTAAAATGGCATTTTGTGTAAACATCACATTACGAGACAACAGAAGTGAAGTTAAATTACCCTAACAGGAAGTTACAATGAAACACATGTCAGGGCTCAGCACACTGTAGTAACTGCTATCTACATGTAGATATTAAATACAGCATGGTATTTTATATCATCAAATACACTTATAATAGTAGCCTTTCTAACTGTGTTGCGTTTACGGCCACTCCTAATAACGTCAATAGTAAACAGTTGAATACGCCCATAAGCAATACATACTAAGATATAGAAAGGCAGAACAATACCAAACAGGACACGACAAATATATAGTAAATAATATGCAGGGTCATCTTAATTGGTCTAAAATAAAAACCACTCCATCACAGAAATCACTTCCACCATCTCGGCCACATAACAGGCTTCCCAAGCGGGGGAGGCTTAGCTTCACAGCAGCTAACACACACACACACACACGCACACACACACACACTTTTACTAATCACTACCACGTATTCCTGCAGCTACACATGCAATATTTTCGGTTGCTATGGACCCAAAAAATGAACCCCGTGGCTTTTACTTACCGAAAACACGTCAACATCTGTGGCAGCCATGGTGGCGGAATGTATGGTGTCGGTGTGCTAGGCTGACTGAGCAGAAAGGGAGCAGCCCTCGTCTCTCCGTACTGCTAAACTACTGAGCCGTTGACAGAGATAGGAAGAGAGCGACACAAGACGGAGAGGAGCTGCTAACTGGGCAGGGAGGCTACTAAGCTAGAGGTCAAGAGGACTCCCTGCTACTTCGCTTCTGCTTCGCTCAGACAGGCCTATTCATCGTTTATTTTCGTCAATTCGACTTTGACAAGAGAGGGAAAGTAATGTGTTATTAATCTTTACTATCTATATTGGGAGCGAATGACAATCAGTCGGTTAAAAAAGTCGACAAACAGACATAACAGCGGTTCGGCAGGTGTTTCTGGTATGCGCATGCGTACTAATGCGCAGCGTGTGTCATACAGTTAACGAACAATCGCGATTTATTTTATTAAGATTCTGTTTTATTCCCCATATAAAAGTCCCTCCGTAATAAATGTTTATATATCTTTAATTTGGAGCAGTTTAAATAGCCTCGAGGTGTTTTCGCGGTCAAAGTGTACACGTACGTTAGAGTAGGAAGATAACTATCTTGACGTTCATGTTAGATCTTTGAGCAGGTCAGATGTGTTCCTATGTGCCACTTCTTGGGAACTCCCATTCACAATCGTTCACAACCCAGGAATTTCATGCTGCATGCATTACAAGTCAGAACATGAGCTAACAGCACCGCAGATCGACAGAGGGAGAGCACAAATATGTGTGTCAGCGGGAGAGATAGTAAAACACCTAATCACCGCTTCAGTGTAGACAACTATTTCTGCTTGTGCCGTTTTCTAGAGAGTGCATCAATATTTAAATGATTAAATGAGGTCACATTGTACAGGAGTGAGAGTCAGCCATTCAGATATAGCAATCTGATACTGCTCCAATATTGTGTTTAATTAACTCCTATTATATAATCAGTGTTTATGTTGTTGTGTGTATTGTAGCCTACTGTGTAGCTGGTACCTTTTGGGGCGTGTAAATTATATTCAGATTTATGCTGGCATCCAGCTTACATTAAACATTTATAACTTTGTGTTTGTGTGTTTAGGGGCCCCACCAATTCTTGATGTTAAGGGCTGTATTTTATATCTTAGACTTTAGTAAAGCATGGTAATATTTGGGAAAACAAACGTTGTTGAAAATGCTTACATTTGCCATTTAATAATGTGTTTCCCCTGCACCATTTCTTAATGATCTTACTGTCTTTAATTATTGTAAAGCACTTTGAATTGTCGTGTTGAAAGGTGCTATAAATAAACTTGCCTTGCCTAGCCTTGCCTTACATTTGGTTATTGAATTAAACAAAAGTGTATATGTCTGATGTATTATTATATCGAAGTGATAAAAGTAGACTTTTTAATTATTATTCTTATTATTCTTGCAATTATTATGTGCATAACTTATCATGGGGAAAAGTGTATGTGGTCTTTGGGGTAGGCATTTTGAAGCTGATAAAAACACATTTTTCTTGTTTAATACATTTGATTAAAAAAAAGAAAGACAAAAAAACACACCCAGACTTACTGATATAGTAAGTCGGATTTATTTTACATTTGTTTTAACTTTTTATTTTATTAGAGAAATTAAGGTGATGCCATTATTAGTCTTCAATTGTAATCTCGCAGCCACTTTGCCTTTAGAAAAAAATATGCATGTATTATTCAGATTGTGTCCACGTCTGCGCGTTCTCCCGGAAAAGACTCCTCCAGGTGGGGAGGAGAGAAGTGCGCGGCCAGGTGAGGCTAGTACTCTCACAGGACAAAGGTAACAGCAACAGGGCGGCTGTGGGAGGTAGAAGTTCTAACTTTTATCCACGTAAATCCTACAGATTAAATCATGGTTTTGACGCAAGAATCCGTCCTTTCTCTGCTGATAGCGGAGGGGGGCCAAGTGAAGAAATCCGACTTGGTGGGTAAATTCAAAGACTCCATAAACTGCGAAGATTCCGCAGAGAAAGAACAGAACAGGGAGCTTTTCAAGACTTTCGTTAACAATGTCGCTTTCGTCAAAGAAATCGACGGTGTCCGGTACGTTGTCGTCAGGAAAATGTATCAGCACTTGGACGGTGCCCAGACCGAACAGATCCGTGTGGAGAAGAGTGAAAATAAAGAGATCCCGCAGACAGGTGAGCAGCAGCGCCCACCTGTGCAGGGCGAGGAGACTGGAGGCTCTGAGGAGGCAACAGGAGGGGAGAGATCAGCTGTTTCCGAGCCTGATCAAGAAGAGAAAAGTGAATTAAGTGACAATCCTACCGAAATACTTTCTTCTATACAGCAGGCACTGCAAAGAAGCAAATTTACGAGTGTTAGAGTTAAAAGAGTGCTACACTTTGAGATCCAGAAGCAGGAAACAAATGAAGATTCAAGAGGAAGCAGGGTAAATGAGCCCACCAGGATCCAGAGCAAACCATATACCTTACCTCTGAGGATGCCACCCAGCACTACAATGGTGGAGATCCGAAAACTAAAATTAGACCCAGATGATCCTCCTAAAAGCCCGAAGCTGGACTCCTTCAGGAACAAGAGAAGTTCAGCGGAGTCGGACAGTAGCATTAGCTCGCCCCAGCTGAGGAGGTCAGTGAAGAGCACCAAGGCGTCAGAGGATCAGGAGACAAGGGGCCCCTCTCTGTTTCCCTTGGAGCAAGCTGAGCATGAATGGCTGGTCAAGTGTGCCGCCGGCCACTGGAGCCAAGTGTACGGCCTGCTGCTGAGAGACAGCCAACTGGCAGAGAAGAGGGACTTCATGTCAGGGTTCACCGCTCTGCACTGGGCAGCCAAATGTGGGAACAGTGAAATGCTTGTGAAGATTATTGACCTATCCAGGAAAGGAGGAGTGGACATTGACATTAATGCGAAAACACATGGAGGTTACACTCCATTGCACATTGCCGCTTTGCATGATCAGGAGTACATCATGGCCATGCTGGTGGGGGAACACGGTGCCGATCCAAGAATTAGGGACAACTGCGGAAAGAAGGCCTACCACTATCTGCACGGGGGCATCTCTGAGACTGTGAGAGAGATGCTGGGTGAACCCAAAGTTCAACAGGCTCCGGACATAGTGCAGATTGAGAAAGAAGAGCTGGATCTGTTCCCGGATCTCTCAAAGGGCCTGCATTCAATAAGCCGCCTCTTCAATCCCAATGTCATGGGCACCAAGAAGAAGCACAAGCAGAGGTCAGGATTTTACTCCCTGAGCGAAGACCCCATCGAGGAACGAGAAGACAGCAGCTTTAGACAGAGAGTCATATCAGATGCTTTTATGTAAATAATGTCTTGTCTTGTTCTCATGTGGATTTAGAGCCACACATCCGATTCTTGACTGACATTCATCTGATTTTCAGGCTTTCTTCAACTATGACAACAACTAAAAACAGCTGTTTGCTTTACTAAATGAGGTCACCAAAAAGTTGTTTGCTTTATTCATATTTGTTGACTTTTCTTTTGGCATAAAATATGAAAAACTAATGTGCATGGTTTACTGATTATGACTGAGAGACAGATTTGTTGTTACAGATGTTACGTTTCTGAGTTATATCTAATGTTTACAGGTGTGAACAAAACATGATTCAGAGTTTTCTTATTACTCACTGTCTGTGGTCCCTCGAAGGTGTCATTTCTCTCTTCAGACATGGAAACTGAGCTAAACACTGATGATGTTTAATAACTGATTATGATTTCGTGTTTGTTTAAATTGCAAAAAAACTGCATATTTTCTTCCACTGCCTGTAAAATATATAGTTCTATTTGTTGTGATTGTAAATCAACTGCGCTGCATTTCATGAGAAATAAATCAGACTGTACACTTATTTTAACAAAGTTTGCATGCATTCATTACGTCTGTTAACAGGAAATCAATCTATGACCAATGCATTCTATTTCTGAGGTAGCGAACAGATCACGACAGGACTTGTGTGTTTTCCCCTTTGACTAACTGATATGAACTTATGTAATGAAGCAGTCATCCTTTTTGATTTCCACGAGCAAACATGCCCAAACTAAATTGAAGATGTGATGACGTATGGGTGAATAACACTTTTAAAAGCAACTAAATAAATACAATACAAAATGGGTGCCTCTGAGGAGGATTTAGGGGACTTGGTACCTCTCAGCTTCGAGATTAATTATTAAACACTGCTAAGCATTTTAGAGAAGCACACAACTCACTGCAATTTCCTGGAAGAAAACAAAAACTGGATTTTCCTGGATTGTAAAATATTTGACTAGCATAGGCAAAGCGCATGTTCATTAAGAGGTTTGCAGGTGCTCCATAAATCGTTACAGTGCCAAAACTTCTCTGAAATGTGGCCTGGATCCATCTTCAGGGCTTGTTGAGACAGCTGTGATTCAGTCACATGAGCAGCTGACTGGGAATGAGTGTGTTTGCATGTGGGTGACTGAAAGTGTGTGTTAATGCTGCCTGGTTTCCTGTCTGTCATGGTTTCTTGTTCCTGGTTGAAAAAAGGAAAAATCAAAGTAAGGCTTCAAATGCGTCTAAAAATCTAATGGTTAGTTTCCGAAATCATGGCAAAAGTTGAAGAAGTGTTGTTAGGAAATGTTCTGTGGTCAGCCCCTTCTCAGGCTGTGTGTCTTGTTCCCGCCTCGAGTCGCCTCCTTCTGTTTCTTTAACGTTACATGATGTCACTTCCCCAGCAGCGTACATTGTCTCATGTCAAGACGATGTTTCATCTCCGTGTCTCATGGTTTTAGTAAGCAAATGTTCTCTGCCACTGCTGCTGCTGTGAGGAGAAAGGCCAATAAGGTCAAGAACAAGACCCAGAGCGGTGGAGAAAGAACTTAAATCCTTCAGATAAGACAAGCAGAAATACCATCATGTTACATTTTGTTGTTATAGGAAACTGTTTGTGCAATAACCATTTTTTTTAAATATGGAAAATATTGTAAATGTGAATGTCAACCTTAAATGCTAAAAGTACAGATGCTCCATTTACTGGGTGATAGTTTAAACTTTAAAATGCATCACAGTGGAGTTAATGAGAAATTCTTATATTGTGGTTCAGTGTGGCAAAATTATATCATACTACCTGAGGATTAGTTACTACAAGCCTCTCTGAATCTGCACTTGCAATAAAGGACATTTTCTCAGTACCACAAACAACATCTGGTATTTGATCAATTGTGTTAGTTTGACATTTAGAAAATGTGCTCTTGCTAGGATAGATGACAACATTAGTAACTCTTTATCTTCTCATTTCATTCTCTGCAAGACATTTTCGAATAAATTCCAACTATCCCAACTGTCTAGTGATCTATGGCTTTAACTGATTTGATCAGGATTTTTCATTAATTGGTAGTATTGGTATTGGTTACAACCCAGTGTAAATCTCTGTATTTGTAAAGTAAAGTTAACCACACAACATCAAAAAGGCCTGCCAGGCATATTCTGGTAATTGAGCACCACATGAACCTGTTTTTTTAAAGTATAAGTTGTCATGTAATTGAAGCTGGTAGTGAAATATAACGTGGAACGTTTTTTTATTGTAAACCATTATCTCATGTGTGTTTCATGTGGTTATAGACAGGTCTTATGTTAGCTTAATCAGAGCTGCATGCGTTCCAACAGCAACATCCACTGTAACATGAAGAAGCGATAAATCTTGGTGATATAAAACGAGCACAGGCTCGAGTACGAGGCCCTGTCAGTCTTTATAAGTGAACTGTTTAATGACTGCCAGAGGTAGGAGGAAGAAACTCAAGGTGTGCTGACATTCCTGCTGGCGGAGAGTTCAGGGTTCAGGTTTAAAAATGAACTTTGGAGCCACTAATCTGAGCGCCTGGCAGAGTAATCACTGAGTCATCGACATGATCTTCAAATCCTGTAAAATAAAACAGGGTCCATTTAACATTATTAAAAAAAAAAACTTTGTTCCCTAAATGGTACAGGTGTTGCTTCAAAATTGGAGTGTTATGTTTCATCCACCATTTTATTTTTCCCTGCCTCACTGTTGAGATCTAGTCAGTAATTATCAGCAGCAACACTCCTTATTACTCAGTACTGTGACGGAACTGATGTCTTTACACCACCCTGTTCCCTACTGTTTCTTGTCTGCAGCCTACACCCTAAACACTACATCACTAACACTGCCTTTGTAATAATGCCCAACCTAATTTCCATGCAATTAGAGACTGACAAAGATCTTTGAGAATTCCTAGAGTTGTGTTTAATGTCCCTGCTATATTCTGTGGGAATCTTATTCAAAGTGTTTATAGTGAGTAGAGTAAGATAAGTGCTGTCTGTTGTCTCTCGCTGACCTATTGGAGTTTCATCTTGTCTTTCCAACTTGAAATCGTTTTCTTTTTCCGTGTCAATTCTTTTAATAAGCATTGTTATTGCTGACAAACAGACTGGACAGCATTCCTCTGTGAGGCTGAACAAATGAGGGCAAAGATGCATGAAAGGGACAAAAGAGAATGAAGACAGTGTTCTGAAAATATGAGCCTGCGACGCATCATTTAGAGTAAGATAAGATAAGATAGAACTTTATTGATCCCAATTTGGGAAATGTTTGTGTTGCAGCAGCAAAAAAATACATGGCATTGTACAATACAAATTAAAAGACAAGAAATAAACAAGAAAGTAGAAAATATACATGTTGAATTTACAAATGAACAATAACAAGATATAAATGTGACAGATGGAATATTAAATATTAGACTGAATATATAAATGTAAAATGTACAGTGAAGAGAAAAGAGAAAAACTATGGAGCAGAGAGTTCTCTGCCAGCCAGAGGTGATTACAGTGTTATTGCAGTAGGCAGGAATGTTTTCCTATATCTGTCCTGAGTAAAGCCATCCTGGTATTGTGTAGTAAGTAACATCATTTGACTACCGTTTTCTCTAAGGCTATCTAATCAAACACTTTATATCTGGGTTGCTTGATCCGGAAGACATTTAAAAACATGTAGTTGCGGGGTTACAGGGGTTATGTGCCAAATGATTCCTTGGCTGGAAGAAATTACTTCCTGGAGTCCTGTCGTCACCGTGACGCCAGGGTAAACATAGTCTCCAAAAAACAGTCTAGTCTAGTAAATAATGCCTTCAAACTACAATTTGTCGGTATTTGAATACAAAAATAAATTAATAAACAAACAACGATTTTGTTCCCTTTAGCTTTAGGGAGGCTAGCTGTTTCCCGTACGTTGCTCCTAATCTTTATTTTAAGATAAGCTAACTGCATCCAAATTCCTATAAAATTCACATGAGAAAGGCATTGTTCTTATCATCTAACTCTCAGCAAGAAAGCGATGTTTTATAAAAGTCAAACTATTCCTTTTAACTTTTTCTCATAGTACATACGGCAGCTGGTTAGCTTAGCTTAGCATAAAGACTGTGATAGAGCGGAACAGATAGCATAGCTCCATCCACAGGTAACACAATTACCAATTCAACACATCTTGTTTGTTTTATTGTCAAACTAACTAACTACTTATTCAGATATGAATTGATTAAAAAAGCTTGAGAGGTGTTTGCAGGTGGGTTTTGATTTCTTTGGTGAAGCTAGCAATTTAAAGTGAACCATGTTGTGTGCTGTTTTGATATGTCTAATGTTTTGCAAGCTAAAGTAAATCAATAGTAATAGTAGTACAATAATATTTATATTCAGTAGTCCTACATTATTTCCTCTTGTTTTCAAGTTGCTGAGACTCCAGTTACACATTAGCTGAAACTGAATTCAAACAATAAGCATTGAATATAAGACCGACTTGGTGCCGTATAGAATTCAATAAAAAGACAAGATTTCCCCCCTTTTCACAAAGCAATCAAGATTTTGAATAGTTTTTCTCCCTATAGATTATGGAGCTCCCCAACAGTGTTTAAACCAGAGAAGTCATTCAAAACGGTGTATTATTGCTCCCAGTACAGAAACAGTAAAGCTCCCTCAGCAGCAGTTTGTTGATGGAGCTGCAGAGGGCAGAGATGAGCTCTGATAGGAAACACCACTCCAGCAAAGCTTCAACTACTGAATGACTACCAACTGTGAGAACTAATGTGACAAACTGATACTGAAGAAGAAGCACACAACTTAAACCATTTGTTGCATAAATATGTAATGTAGCCAACATTCGTGTCAATTGTTTGTTAATGTTTACCTTGGATACATGTGTCTGCATCTGTTTTTCACAAACAAAGCTCACTCTGGAGAGGATTAAAGAACTGTGGTACACAAGAGGGAGAGGGAGAGCTTAATTTATTCACAATATAACAAACATCATGGAATTTACAACTCCAAACAGGCACAAAAAACAACTTTAACTATCAACATAAAACAGATGTGAAATAGAGCGGAAATAGTGGATTTAGAAATGTTTGCTGTCGTCCCACCAGCCGGGACTTACTGAAATATTTTCAAAAACAGATTATGTTTGTATCAATGAGACACGCTTCCAGTATGTGAAAACTAAACAAAACCCATCTGTTCAATAGAGCCTTTTCCTAGACCTTTTATTTGATTTATTACTACCCTTTTGACTTTTTTTATTGTTTGTTTTTACTGCTTTTTATTAAATTATACCATGTTGTGTGCTGTTTTATACTGTTCCATGCTCACTGCTTGTAGCACTTCGGGATTTGAACTCAAATATGAAGTGCGTTATAAATGAAACCCATTATTATTATTATTAAATATAATCCTACTTCAAAAACAGGCCCATTTTCCTGTGAACTCAACAAAACACTGCTTTGATTGAATGACGGGAACAAGTAATGTCACATGTCCGTTAGTAGACACACATAGCAAGAACTGAAATGAGTATTTATCCATGTGCTGCTCCTCTTCTGTGGGAGCTTTTTCCTCACTTTTTCCCCCGCAAGCTTTCTTTCTCCCAAATGTGGCATACTTTAGAAATTCCTGAAGGTTGTGGGGAACAACAAGAGTCTTTTCTAACCCTTCAGGACTGCGTCAGCACAAAGGCCAAAAACAAACAGACATTTGTTTAGCAAACTGAAACGGACAGGGTCGTAAATCTCTGGAGAAATGTTTCAGGGATGGCGGGGGGGGGGAGAAACTGCTTATCAAAAATAAACAGAACAATATCTTTCAAGTATAAATGAGTTTTTTGACATTTCGAGTTTGGGTGAGTTAATGGTTTTTTATGTGGAGGGGATGCAAATGATGCTCTGCCTTTTGTAGTCATTATATAAATATCATATATAAAACAGTCAACACTGGAAACCTTTTCAGTTCAGCCAACAGGTATGATTTCCTGAGGGATAATAACATTTAATCACTTCCACAAAAGGACTTTTGTTGAAAACTTAAACGGCAAACACCAATAGGAGTTCTGTCTTTCTCTTCAACAACTACTCACTATAAACATGAAATGAAGACATTCATGATTTTACACACACGTTGCACATATTCTGACGTAGAACAACAGTCACTTTGATGTGTCTAGTTGATTCAGTAAAAAAAGAAATGTGGAAACAGATTATCTAAATAAAAAATGGGGGAAAGTCTTTTGATTCAAGAGTGCATTTCCTTTGAGAAGAGTTTTTTTTAACTACATTTAATTAAACTAAAAGGTAACATATCTAACAGGTGATATGCAGTGGAGCTAGAACATTGAACATTAGTTTAAGACACCTGAAGTGAAGATTGTGGACTTTCCTGTTTGATAAAAACTATTTCAAGTATCACGTGTCACTTCTGTGACAAAGGGACATTGGGAGAAAATACTCAGTAATATAATTCTTGCTGACTCATAATCTGATTAAAGAGGTTTAGCACCTCCTTATGAGAAACTGTTCAAGCGTGAAATCATTGAGGCTTAATAACATTATGTATGAAATTAGCTGGAAAAGAATTTGTACAAAATCCTTAATGTTGCATGGTGTGCTCATGTACCTTTTTTATAAAAAATATTTCGACATTCCTATTGAAAATGTATGACGAAACAACGACAAAAACAGGGATATTGTTTAAATGGATGGAGTAAGGCTTTCATTGAAATGACTTGAATCTGATTTTAAGAAATGTGCATTTATGTATCATTACAAAGTGCTTTTTTTTCATTCACCCTTTTTGGTTTTTAGTGCCTTAAATTTGAAACACATTTGAAAAGAAGAACATTTACAAAAACATAACGATTAAATCTACTACAGCTATTGTACATCTTGCTGACATGATACAGCACAGCGCCCCCTCTCAGGCTATACTTTCACTGAAGCCTTCACACAGGTCCAAATACAATCTTAAAGCTTATAATAGGTTTCCACAGGTGCAGATACAGGGCTGTAGCACTACCATCCCATTGAAAAAGTGGAGGACAGTTGCTAGATTGCTAACAGGGGACGCAAAGTTTCCACCACACAGCAGCTCTAATGGAAAACGATCCACAGCAACATCAAGGCACACAGAAAAAAAACCAGCTCAGTGTTTTAAGTTAATGGAAAGATGTGCGACACATTGAGAAAAGTCTTCAGGTGCACAGATTGTGCAGTCTCACAATGGGCGGGGATTGAGCCGTCGGTGGATGAAAGGCAAGGAGTCTTTATTTCTCATCTGATGTGCAGCCTCGTGAATAGCATGAGAGGAGAGCAGCGGGAGGCATGATGCGTTTGTCAAAGTCTTCAATGATACATTAGGAAGTCATGACAGGGTGGGGGAAAAAGACAGCCACCTCTCCACATGTCTTCTTAAACAAGCTACTACTTTAAGGCAAGTGAAGGAGGAATCTGTGCTTGTGTTGCTCCTCTCTTCACAGGCTGTTGGAGAGCGCCTCCAGCTGCTCCTCTCCCAGCCTCTGCTTCTCCTCCAGGTCCTTCTGCCGGATGAGCAGCGAGGCCTTGGTCTGCACGAAGCGCCGGTAGTCCTGCAGCTGCTCGGCGGACAGCTGACGCCCCAGGAAGGTGGAGACCAGGTTCTCCCTGCGGTCCAGGTTATCCTTCAGATCTTTGGCGTCCTCCCTCTGTTTGCACAGCAGACGGTGGCGACTGTCCAGAGATTGCTGAGTGCAGACACAGAGGATAAAGAACATGAAATATACCTGCTAATGTTCCCTCTCTATCTCACATGATATTGCTGTGGACAAAGGAATTTGTTAGGTTTGTTATTGAAATGTTATTATGGTGTTGAAATTGTGCCTTGCTCATGCTCCTAGTATTAAATGGGTAAGTACATATTCTGCTGAGAACTCAGAATTGGAGAGCAATGCTGATAAGGCATTTGAACATGTCCAAGTATTATATTTGGGATTTTCTTGTTTTATTTGAAAGGTAATAATGGTTTTTGATGTAATAGAGAGCTGTGAAAGCGTTATGGTTCCGCCACAGGGCAGGAGGTGCAGTGTTTCCTTATGTCAACAGAGGGCAGGGTAGGTACAAATGTCATCGAAACCGGACTGCAGTTTCGGTGAGTCAGTGTAAATATCAGTGTTGCTGATAACAGCAAGAAAACCAATGACCCTCTAACAAGCTCCCTGTTTGCAGCACATTCAGCTGGGCTGTATACAGATGGACAAACCGACAAAGAGCCCTTTCACGGATACATCTAGAAATCGAATGCATCCATGCAAACATAAATTGATGCTGTAAATACCAGGAAGCATAATGAAAGAGGATATTCAGAGGGAAAACAGAGCATGGTACAGAGCGATCGTGTGACACAACACATGTTATTTGAATTGAAATGTTTTAGTAAAAACTATTAATTGTAGCTACCTCAGATGCAGCATGACGGAATTTAAGTAATTGTTTCTCAATATATCAAATCAAAAAGTGCACTAGATGAAATTCATTCTTCAAATGTCTATTTAAACGTTGGGGTCAAATAAAGATAAGCTAAAAAGGCAATTAGACATAGATAACATTTTTTGAATTCCACACGGTGAGAAACCTTGACTCCATTAAAGTCGCCCTTAACTTCCCAAGTGGCATGTGTTTGCTGTTCTTAAGTAAACAGAACGAGAGGAAAGCCGAGGGCATGGGAGCAGCCGCGCACTTCCAACACTCGCAGTTGTCTTTTCTTTCCGCCAGAGGCTCTAAATGAGCTGCAGTAAATCACAAAAACTGTGAGGTTGCATTGCATAAACACTACCTGAATGTATGCTTTTACTTACCTGTATTAGTGTGTATCTGTTTATCAGTAGATTGATTTATCACATCTGGTTTAATGGATTAAATTTACATTTAACCCAAAAAATCTGATTTAGATTAATTCACAATATGGGCACTCTCTACTGAGAATAAGACACAAATAAACTCAACTTTTGATTAGATTTATACAATTTTGAAGGGAGATTTAAACATTGATTATTCAGCTTCATGCTTTTTTTTTACATGTGTGATGTGAATAATTACACTGGTATATGTATTTGAGAATTGGATGCTACAGAATCCACTCAAAACTTTTTTTATTTTAGGATTATGTATATGCGAGTGCTGTATTTTTCTCTGCAGCTTCAGAAAGCTTGGAGTTGGGAGGGTAATTGAAGGCCCCACCAAGGAGTTTTCAAAAACATTCCCTGCTGGCAAGAGTATTACCATCAGACAATTATGCAACTACAAAATACATCAAGCAATAAATTATAGAAGATAAGAGGACTCTTGGAAGGAAAACCCTCTTGAGACAGACCCTGAAAACCCTCATTTATCAACCCCAAGGCCTCCATATGAGGTTCTGGTTCCTCACCATCTCTTCAGCGTCTGTGTGTTGGTCCACGGTGCTGAGGGCGTTCTGCACCCTGGCCAGCCGGGCGGAGAGGCACAGCAGCAGGCTCACCACCCTCTCCAGGTCTCCTATGAACAGGTTGTACCTCTCCAGCTCCACGGGCACACAGCGCTCGCGGACCAGCACCTCCAGGACCCCCCCGTGGGCCAAGTTCTCCTGGATCTCTGCCTGCAGGACCCCGCGAGTCTCCTCCAGTGAGTGAAGGCGCTCATTGATAATGGACGCTAAGAGACGCTGATAATTCAAGCAGACAAGAGGAGATATGTGAGATATTGTAGGCAATGGTGCTACAGGGTAAATACAATATGTGTATAAATAATACTTTGAAACTTGAAAAAAAATGTGTATTTCATATTTGCAGTGATAGGATAAAGGGGAAATGTATCAAGAGTGAATGTGGGAGGCATTCAGGAAGAGGGGGAAGGCTATTTGCAAAGCCAAACATTATGCAAGTAGGAGATACTGATAAGAGGCAGACAGTATATCATGTGATAAGAGACACACAACTATCTCAGTCTGAAATGAATCCACTTAAGGCCAAATATCATCCAGATGGTATCATTATGAAATCCAGAGCTCGTTTTTTTAAAAAGAAAATCAGAAGAAGACCTCAAAGTTTGTGGTTAAACTTCAATTTTACTCTGCGGTCCTATCGGCTTTCTTGTCATTTTAAATGTACAAAGCTGTGACATTCTTAGAGACATATGGTTTATGGTCAAATGTTTAATAGTTTAAAAGTATTGAAATGTACACTTAACTTCTGTTGTGAGGTACTTTTGACAATAACCATACACATGACTGAATAATCACCTTTCTCTCAGTGATGTCGGCTTTGCTCTGCAGGTCTGTACTCGGAGGTTTAGGGCTGTCCGGAGCAGACGGAGCAGGAGATGGTTCAGCCTGTTCCACTGTGTCAGGACTGGAAAAAGACAAATGTTTTTAGGTCAAGCTAGTTTTCCTACTCCATATCAATGTGCCACATACAATGTCTTCAAATACTTTAATTTATATATGAGAGAAATCTGAAATGCAGCCGCACATTCCCCATGTATCTGAAGAGAGTGCTTACACAGTGAGGTCATGTACCGCGGAAAGCAGATGGCCAGGTGTGTCTGTGCGTGTGATGCAGCAATAGATAACACAGGAACCAGTATTAAGTTACACGGAGAAACATTAAACCAGGAATTCTAATTAACTCTGCACTCTAAACACCATATCCACACTAAACTTGTTTTCTATTATTACTATTTGTTTCCATGTACACAGCTTGTCACAAGGTTAAGTCGGATGAACTTATTTTCATTATTTCAGAGCACATCTCCGGAGTGTTCTGTCTCCACTAAGGCAGGAAAAGTCTCCCAAAAGTGTAAACAAGTGTATGTATTTATCTGTTCCAGAGGTGGGTTTAACCTTTAAGTGTTGTGCTCTAGGACAAGAACGTTTACCTTTCTGCAAATCCTTTCTGCTCCTGCTTCTTCTTGTAGTGCTCCTCCATCAGCAGCGTGTCCTCTGACAGCAGCTGCTCCATCAGCATCAGTGCCGTCTTACGATTGGTCAGTGGGTAGAACACTCTGGCCAGCGATTGGTCAACCTTGACTGCCGCTTCTACTAGCTGCTGCCACTTTGGTCTTTCAGCAGGCCTCTCCAGGCTCTCTGTCTCTCCCTCTTGAGTCCCCCTCTCATCCGTCGCTTGGTTTCCTCCAGACTTCTCATCTTCCGGTTCTGGATGTTCCTCCTCCTCCACCTGCTGACTGATGTCTGTGTCAGAGATGGAGGTGCAGGCAGACACAGAGGTTTCACTTGTCTGTGTCGGAGGGGCGGGGCTGGTGGACTCGTCGTCAAAAACGTCGTCTGTCAGCGCCGAAGACTGAACTTCCTCTTTGATCTCCTCTGCTGCGGGGAGAATCCACAGCGATGGATCGGTGGTGACACCGCAGCTCAGAGACACTTCCTGGTTTGACTCGAGTTGGAGGGAAACGTTGCTTTCTTCATCCACCGACTGCTCTCTCTCTGATCCAGATGCAGAAGGAGAAGTCTTGACTCTAATGAAACATAAACACGTCATGGTTAACAATCACACCTGTTGAAAAATAAATGTAGGTGCAGAAAAACAGTGTTGATAAGTAAAGGGGAACGCCTTCACAAGTTTATTATTGACTGCATTTCAATTATACTTGAATCTGATCCAACAAAGACCCAGGTAGAAAAAGTAGTCAATAATAAACTGTTGTGTAGTGGGCAAGGTTATCCGTTTTCTTAAGAAAAAATGTGTTTGTCTACAAAGCTGAAGGGATATATATTCCAATGAGCACTATGCAAGGAATGTTTTGGAAGAAAGCGGGCCCCAAACAATTTGACAGACGAAAAAATTAGTTGCATTGACAAAGAGTGTAATCTTACCTGGAGCTGGGCCTGTTTTCACAGGGAAGCTTTGTCTGGGTGGGAGTGGACGAGGTGGATTTGATTTCTCTCTCACTGGTCTCTGGACATCTGGGGGAAGGTGGGTCAGGTGGAGTCTCACTGGGCGGTCTGCTGGACCTGACCTCATCTGTAACCGGGCCGTGAGAACCAGGAGATCCAGAGGGAGTCCTGCAGGAGGCCGGGGAGGAGGATCTACTTGCTGAGGCGTTCTCCTCTGTTTCAGAGCTCTGCCTTGACACAGACTTTATCTGGGCTTGGTTTTGTGTCTGTCCCTGACCAACGATCGCCGTTTCCTTTTGCCCCGTTACATTTTGTTTCATTCCCCCTCGGACCAGCCCCTGGGTTTCTCTGACTTCAGCAAAGAATGAAACGCTCCTCTTGTCTTTGACGGGTCCTCCAGGTTCAGTCGGATCCCTCCAAAGTTGATCTAACTGCTCAGAACTTTTACTCATGGCCGATGGTCTTGGTAACTTTGATGCCCCGAGCTCTTCCATGGACTTCCCCCTCTGTGCGACCACACGGACGCGCTGCTGGCTCTCAGGGGCCGGCTTCAATGAGGAGTCCTCACTGGCATGCGTCTGAGGACTGACACAGACAATCAATGTTAAAATGTTTAACACAAGCCATCAATTTAAACAAAGTTTGATAACTTGGAGTTTTCAATTAAAACAAAAACTACTAAACCACCACCTGTAGCAATCATATCTTCATATTGTGTCTCTCACTGACCAATTCTTTATCTATTTATCTAATACTCATCCTGCAACAAACTTTGAGTTTTACGTGTTTTCAGACGGGCTAATTGTGCAAAATGTTTATGTGAAAGATGTAAAAGATATAACTTTGCTGTTGTTAAATGCCCCCATTTACATAAATTAATGTAGAATTTTCTCAAGTTTTTGGACTCTTTATTCATCATGGAGGTATGCAGTCATTTCTTTTTAAGTAAGGTAAGGTATGATCATTTAAGGACAAATAAAAATGCATCATAAAAAGGCTCTGTATTTTTACATTTTAAAGACTGGCAACTAACAATTTCATATTTTGAAATATGTCAACTCCTTGGAAAAGCTTGAGTCAATGATTCTTCTTTTACAGCCCATGCATAAACCTCTGGAGAGGAATGCTGCCTAGCTGGACCAGGTGGGTGTTGACTTTCCAGTGTCTCAGGGACTTAAGAGAAGATTTATTGTCTGAGCACACTCACACTGACCTATTACTCTTGTGACCTAAACCTATACAAATGTACCAATTTGTCTGCGTTGCTGGTACATACCTTGGGGTTTCCATAGCATTAACTGGTAATGGCTCCTCTTCATGATCGAGTGCCTGCAAACCCAGAAAAAAAAGTCAAAACACGTAAATTACACTTGAATCTGTCCGGTTAAATCCTTCTAAAGGCGATTGTTAAGTATACAAAATGAGTGTGAAATAGTACAGCAAAGGCCAGACAGGGGTACGTTCACATGAAAGCTTGTCAGACACTAACTTTATTCAAAAAATATGCTTTTTAAGTGTCTCAATCTGTACAGACATACCTGTGGTGTGGATGTGGATCTGTTCCTTAAAAAACATGGTGGTTCTGGTTGGTCCAAGAGACTCTCCACTGAGGCGGACTTCCCCTGAGATGGGCCTTGGCTCTCCCTCCATCTGGGTTGATTGGACTGACCAACATATTGGCCTGAACAAGACTGTGCCGAGAAGAACTGGGCGTACCTGAATTGGGATCATTTGTATTAAATATTGAAATGATTGAATCTTTATGACAACAAAAGGCATCACACAAGACCTGCTTTTTCATACCTGATAGAGCTGGAAGGGGAGTCCAGGATGCGGCCTGCAGAGTGGGGTCTGTTGGGTTTATTCTTGGTGTTTTTGCCTTCATTATTTCCTGATAGAGGCCTGGGACCCCAGTCGAAGGGTTTCTCCCCCATAGAGTGCCTCTGTCTGGGTGGAGATGGTAACTGAGGAGCCGGCTGCTGTGGCTCGGGCACTTTCTGGCCCGTTTTACGCTCCATGTACTCCACCAGCGCCTTGTGTTGCATGTGTTTCAAGTTGGATTTTGTAGCGCTAGAAGCTGAGAGGGCTCTACCTCTCGTCTCAAACATCTTCCTCCGTGCTGCAACCAGTCCCTGCTCCCCTTGCTGCGCACGTTCCTCTTCCTCGCATTCGACTGCAAACAGGCTTTCAGTGTCGTTGCCAAAGGAGCGGCATGCAGAGTGGACGGGGGCTCCACCGAGCTGGTTGAGTTTCTCTGGTTCAGAGTAGCACATCTTTTTCTGCTCTTGAGTCAATCGCTTCCTGCCTCTGATGCGTGCTACCTGGGGCTGGGCCACATTCGCTGGCCTCCCGTTTACCTCTTCAGTCTCTTTGTCCCTCTCCTCCTGACTCTCCCTGACTTCGTCTTTGATGCTCCCCCTCTCGGTCTCCTCAGAGGCCACAGAGGGAGTGAGTGTCTCTGTGGAGGTCTCAGAGTCCTGTGATGAGGAGAAAGCGTGGATAACTGTCGGCCTCAGCTCAGGTTTTGGCCTGGTACGGTGCGGCCATGACAGCTGCAGGTCCCTCCTTTTAAATGACGTCTCCCTCAGGACTTTCGACTGGGCATCCTTCAGCTTCTCTTTGTAGTACTTTTTAAAGGAGTCGTCCAGCGTGTTACAGGCAACGGAGATACCTTCCTCTCTATCGGTCTCACTTTTTAGTGGTCTCTCCTTCTCGGTACCAACCACGTCTCCATGACCTGTTTTGTTTAGAATTGCTTCTTTGCCTTTTGTACTGAACTCAGCATCCTTTTGAGGCTGTGACGCCGCCCTGCTGGCTCCGGTGAGGTGGTACAGTAGCGGGGTTGTTTCTTTGTTTATCCTCTCGCTGGCTACATCTCCCAAGGGCTGCCGTTTCCCTCTTTTTGCTTGCTCCTCTCTCTTGTGGGGGTTAGGCTGTTCATTGCTTATGAGTGGGGTCGCCTCCTTTGTTGGTTTGGTTGAATGTGGTGGGCAGTTTCTTTCAGGTCCACAGTAGAATATAGGGTTGTTGGCAGTGTGGCGGCTGATATCCCGACTCTGGATCATGTCGATTTCTTCCAAGGTGTCGAAGCTTCTCGAGGACCGCATTGAAATGAGGGATAGTCTGTGATTCTCCTGATCCTGGCTTCTGGAGGAAAGGTCCTGGCTCGGAGAAGTTAAAGCCTCTCTCGCATCACTGAAAGAGGTCTCATCTTGGAGAGATCTAAACAAATTATCCATTGTGCTGTGGCATCTTCCCTTTTCTCTTAGCACCACAGTGGAGCTCTCACTTCCAGTCTCAGACCCACACACAGATGCAGAGTGTGTCCTCATTCCAGATTCAGACAGCTTACACAGTCCTGTGACAAAATAGAATTGACCCTTATGCTGGATGCTGCTGTTGATGAAACCCTGACCAGCATTCCAGGGGCTGGCAGCTCGAGCTGGCTCTGAACCAAGCCAATCATGCGCCGAGTGCGCCCTTTTGCGCTTACTCTCCAAATGGCCACCGTTTCCACTGGGCTTGTTGTTATGGTCTTCATTAAACACGCCACTGCTTGAAGGCAGTCTGGGTTTCAGGTGCTCAGGCTGGCTTATGGAGTGTATTGACTTGTCCTGCTCCGCTGCTTTGTTATCAGTGATGGAAAGGTATTCTGGGTTCAACGGCGCCCTAGTTTGATCGTGAGGCTGGAGATGGGGGCGGTATGTTGGCGACTGCTGGGCCTGTGGCAGTTCCTGTTGTGAGCCCCTCCACACTGAGAAAACTGGGTCAGAACTGAAGCTTGCTTTGCCTGTATCTTGGTTAGCCGTCTCAGGTTTTGGAGCATTTTGACCATGGGGCTGTGGATGGAGTCGACTGAAGGGTCTGGGCTGTTGTTGAGGTGGCTGGGGTTTAAATTCAGTACCTTGATTGTGGACTCGGCTGTTTTCCAAGTTTTTTGTGGCTATAAAACTATCCATTCGTGCTGGAACAGGAGGAGGACGGACAGTAGGGTGGGAATGAGCCCCCATAGGCACCTCTTTTTTAGAGAGCGCTTTGTTGTTGATGTGCAAACTGTTGTTGCCATTCTGGTGGTTTACATTTGTGTTGGTATTGTTACGATATTGCTGAGAGATAGCTTCCACAGAGCGATAGAGCTGGTCCATGGTCTTTGAGTCGGACTGGAGAACCTGGGTGGGATGGTATATGGACTTCACGTACTTAAGATCAGCATAGTGGCTGAAGGAGCTGGACTGTATGTCGTCTGGGAGAAAGGGGGAGGGGTAGTCTGGGGCAGTGGACCCACCAGAGAAGGAGCTGTAGGCAGAGTCTCCTTTGCCGTGCTGATGGTGGACTAGATGGTCGGCGATGCTGCTGTTGGACTTGGCGGGGGAGAGCCGGCTGACGGGCAGGCTCAGAGGATGGAGGTCCACGTTGCTCATTCTCTCAAAGTGGAAGTTGTAGGAATCCATGGAGGACTGGGGCGGATGACAGGAAGGGAAGGGCGGGGTTTGTGATTGTGGTATACAAGTTTGTGCACTGATGCATGTGTCTTCCTTGTGGGTGAAACTTGGGAATATACCGCCAACACATTTGCACCAGGTTGTCCGTCACGCTCGTCGCTAATTAGGTCATTTTCCTGCCTTCTTTTTGTTTATTCTAGGCTTCTTGAAACGGTCTGCTCAGTAGCTCCTGGGGGAAAAAGCACAAAAACAGCACACACTGGTTATCAGCATGAATCTTGACTCAGGACACACACTACAGTCTTACATCTGAGGAACATGACTGCTAAAGATGAAATTAAAAAGACAAAATTCTTGTTCAAACAGCATTTGAAAAACAATAGTTTGACCAACACTCAGTATATCACATGGCTTTGTGTAGTCATCACAAAGATCACAATGCGTAGCTGTTACGACTGCAAACATGAATGTTTGTGTGAGATTGTCAACTTGGCATGTCCACTAGGTAAATGGCACACCCAACCACACCCCAACAATAAAGACCTTATCTTAGATAGATAACTGAAATTAAATACTCAATCAAATAACCCGCAAGAATTGCAAAATGTTGCATGGTGCCTAAAACATATTAAGATGCCAGAAAACAAAACCTGGCAGCATCAAAGAAGAAATCCATTAACTTATCTCTTAATAATTATTAATATATGTCACGTAATTGCTTAATCTTTTAAATGAGGAACATTTTTATTAAAATATTTTTGTCCATCAATTGTTGGATAGTCAGTGAATTTAGTGGTACTTTTATTTTCCACCCATATTTTCTTGTTATTTTTTAATTGAAAGGAAGAAAGTTAGGGCTATAGAGTGAACAATCACATTTTCCATGATGACATTTTGTGTACATGACGTAGCCGACAGTAAAAAGTATTTTTGTATGTTTCACAGCAGGTTGATTGGTATGTCAGTACAGTTAACCACCTGTTGAAGGAGCCTGTCTGCATGTTGCATGCACAAGGCCTCTAATTAGGGATCCTTGAGGTTGGCAGTGCACGTTACAGCACACACACACACGACAAAAATGTCAGGAATTCCATATGGAGCTACAGAAATCTGGGAGGATTAGTCATGTGATGGATGTATGATGCCTTGTTATACAGCGCTGCAAACCATAAAGGCTCTCTACATTCTTTTTTTTTTGCGAGAGAAGCATTTAACAGCCTAAAATGTAATGATTTGGGCATGATTCAACTTTCAATGAACTACACAAGAACAGTGACTGAGACGATTGGCTGTTATTCTGTTCTAGACGCTGTAGAGTCTTGCAGATTGAAGGGTAGACAATGTATTTCCAACTGAGACACAGTGAAGCTTGATCAATAATCTTTTGGTCTTTCAAAATGAGTCTGCTGCAGCATTCATATTATTTTAATGAACCAATTAACTTGACAATAGTGGGTTTTACTTTAAACTCTAGTAACATTTCCCAAGTTTCCTTATAACACTCTAAAACATTAAAAGTGCAGAGGATTTGATAACTTATAGGGCTACCATCCTGTAACAAAGAAACCTGTTGCCATTATCAGCTATCCAAAGAAACATCTTAAATACAAACCACAGCCCCTTCAAGTTCATTCTAGTTAATAATAGGTTTAGGTTTTTACGGAGGACTCTAATGACAGAGTAACAGCTCGTCTTTTCCATGACCTGCATGCCTTTCCATGACTTTGTCCTCAAGATGAGGCTACATACCTGTCACGCATACACAAAGGTCGATGTTGCCAATAAAACAAAGACAAGCCAACCAGCTAATCAACTCTGACACTGCAGAATACAAGTTTGGCCTCACCATTGTTGGAAGTGCAGCAAATGTTGCGTTATCCATACAAACAAACCCAAAAGTCCTGTCGAGACTGATCTCTTGGAAACTTAGAATGACAACTGAAACCTCTTTTATAATCAATTCCAATGAGCCACTTTCTCTCAGTATGGCCATGTTTGTTGCCTGAGCATAAATCCCAGAATTAAAGATGATCCTAGGTGGTCGTTTTGCATACTCACAAAACCCACCTCCCCATAGCCTTTCATACTACAGTATTAAGGGGGATTCCATGTGTTTATGAAGGGCCTTCTGATCTGTGTTGTGTCTCTCTCTCTCTGTGTGTGTGTGTGTGTGTGTGTGTGTGTGTGTGTGTGTGTGTGTGTGTGTGTGTGTGTGTGTGTGTGTGTGTGTGTGTGTGTGTGTTCTCTCTCTCTGTGTGTTTCTCTCTCTCTGTCTGTGTGTGTGTGTGTTTCTCTCTCTCTGTGTGTTTCTCTCTCTCTGTCTGTGTGTGTGTGTGTGTTTCTCTCTCTGTGTGTGTGTGTGTGTGTGTGTGTGTGTGTGTGTGTGGTTTCCAGCCCTCCTCTTCCTTCTGCGAACACAGAGAGAGAGAGGCTCCCAAACAGGGGAGCGCTCAAGTGGAAGTGATGGAGGGGACAGGCAGTGACAAAATGTACAGAGAAGAGAGAGGGAGGGAGGGTGAGGCAGAGGGTGACCGGCCCAGACAAATACCCTCACACGCAAACCACAACAACAAGAGACAAGAGAAGTGAACAATGACAGCAGGAAAGCTGAATCAAGTTGGAAGGCAGGATCAGCAGCGAGGCAGGCAGCGAGCCACACAGAGATCAACTACTTGCAGGCTGGTATGAATGAAAGTTTGTCAAGTTAAGAGAGCGATGTTAGCAAGAAAGAAATAGAAAAACTCACCACAACTTTGAGTCTAAGTTGAAGAAAAAGTTCCCACTTAAATAAGGATTTCCTAAATGATTTCCGTCCTGGCTTCTCTTTCAGAAAAATCTTTCTTCCTTTAAAAAGAGGGACCAGACCAAGTTACCAGGAGAGCTAGATATTAGAGGGAAGACTTCTAGCGAGTCCCTTCTCCCCCCACAGAGACCCGAGTCTGCCTAGCGGGAGCCTCTGATTGGCCAGCCGATGACGTCTGGCTCTCCGTTTGCACAATGAGCGCAGCGGAGGGAATATTTCACTGCCGCAGATAGATGCTAGTGCTGCCGGCCGCCTGAACAACAGAGAGAGAGATGAGGAGCAAAAAAGAAAAAAGGAAAAAAGGGGGCCTCGCATTCCTGGCTGGCTTCAAAGACGGAGCAGAGGCCGGGCGCCATTCATTCCCAAGGCCCTGAGCTCGGCACATGGAGACTAGCCAAGGCAGGAGGGAGGACGGAGGATGGGAGGGGGTAGTGGTGGTGGGTGGATGGGTGACCTCCCAACCTCCACCCCAAAAAAAAAAACTGTCACAAAGACTAACTCTCCCCCACCATCGTGCTCAATTTCTCTTATTCCCAACATCTATTAGTCTTCCAGGTTTGTCCTATTCTTCGAAATTAAACATTTTGTTTAATTATGTGGTAATTATCATACCAGTGGTGGCCTTTACAAATGATTTTGGTGATAACTGAAAATATAGTACTATATTTAAACAATAAGCTAAGACAATTTTTGTTTTTTCAAGGGGTCGAACGGGTTCTCCATGACACCCTAAGCTTTAAAAACTCCTGTCTGAGAAAGACCTTATTTGCACTCTCTATTGTTTTCTACGGTAGCTGGCAATGCTTGTGCCCACTCAGCTATGCAGAGTTAGCACAGTGTCAGACAAAGTAGTGCGTCAATGTTTTGTGATTGGTCAACGCTGAACTGGCTGACTCAATCTGACGACAAAATAACGTTTATTAGAACTGAGAAGGAGAGATTCATTTTAATAATATAAAAAATGTGAACTGCATTCAACCTGAGCCCTATTTCTTTGTCTTATATCTTTTGAAGCTTGATACCTCATTGGAAATTGAGAGAGAGAACTGGCTATCAGCTTTAAAATAATGTGCAACGCTTATCAAGTCCCTTTCCAAATGTGATAAGAAGAGAGCTCCATGAAAGGGGTCAACTTTAAAATAGAAACAGAGATAAGCTCATGCCAGTTTTTGCCTTCAACTGAGCAAAGTACTATATCCTGGTGGAGCAGGAGAAAAGTATTCCTTAAGACCTGTAAGAATTTAAAGACCATATTTAAAAGAAATCCAAGGAGGTCAGGAAAGGTGTCAGGCAAGGACACATTTTTGCAAAGATTGGATTTATAAAACCTGTGAGAGAGAACACGCGGAGGCTGATGGAGAGAGGGGGGAATGAGGGATGGAGGGGGGGGGGGGTGCGAAATTCTTTCAGAGTTTTTTGTCTTTCAATAGTGATTATGTGTTCCAGCGTGACCTTCACCATGCAGCCACGAGACTGGACCACCAGGCGTCTCAGAAGAATATGGCAGGAATAATACATTGAAGAGATTGAGAATGTAGATACAGGAAGTACAGGGTGATAAGGAAATGCAGCAGGACCCCAAGAATGCAAGGTGCAATAAGAAGTGGGGAAGGCACAAAGGAAGAAACAAGCAGGAAGTGTGGGGACTATGGGGGCTGATTCCCCTGGTAGCCAGCCAACTGACTAGCAAGCCAAAAACAATAAGTATGTTAGCCCCTCAGGCCCTGCTATGTCTGCTGATGAAGAAGATGATGATGGGTTGGTGGACCTCTGAGCTAAATGGATTTGTCCTCAAAATACTGAAGTTAGCACTGTCTAAGCAAACAGAAACAACTAACTTTTTGTATTGCTGAACATACCCCAATAAAGTGTATATAGGAAATGGTAAAATACCTTCAGAAGGCATTTTTTTGGGGTATTTAATAGAGTGGTTGGACACATTGCCATGTTTAAATGTACCCAGAATTGATTGTAAATTAGTCTTAGGTAAGATTCAAGAACTATACAGGCCAACAAACGATTTTGTCTGAAGTTGGAGTCTCAGTCTTAGTAGTCAAGTCAAAGTCTTTTATACTTTTGGACTTTTGACTGGACCCTAAAATATTTGGGCCAGATTAGCTTTTGGAGATTGAGGCCCCGGCTCCACGAGGACAAATACGGCAAAACGCATCGGAGTAACGCAAATGCAACCGCAAAAAACCTTCCGTCCCCACGCAATATACACCGGATTGTGTCAAGCTCCACGAGACGGCTCCGTTTACATCCAACCGCTGGAAAAGCTGCAGTACATATGCCGAACCTGTACGTGGCGCTGTAACTTCCTCCACAAAAGCAGCAACTTCCTCCACAAAAGCAGCGAAGAAGAATGGTTGTCATGGCTGCACTTCTGTGTATTCTCCGCGGTGGGGGCCGACAGAACCGGGCAG